ATTCACAAATTACACTAAATATATCCCTAAATCCCTTATTCCATAAATTTCTGATTTTCTAGGTTCTTAAATTCTTAAATTTCTAAATTCCTAAATCCTTAAATCCCTAACTCCCTAACTCCCTAACTCCCTAACTCCCTAAATTCCTAAATCCCTAAATCCCTAAATCCCTAAATCCCTAACTCCCTAAATTCCTAAATCCCTAAATCCCTAAATTCCTAACTCCCTAACTCCCTAAATCTCTAAATCCCTAAATCCCTAAATCCCCAAATGGCCAAAAAACAAAATTTTCAAATTCTGAAACTTGCTCAATGTAACCAATAACTCATCGTATACGTCTTACACCACCCAATACTCTTTACCATATGACGCACCTTATGTGTCCTATGCAAACCATTCGGTCCAATTTAGGACGCACCCCGTGCGTCTTATACTATCTGCTCAATGCACTCTATGCATCGCATGTCATCCATCCAATGCGATCAACGACACGCTATATGCATACAATGTCGCGTATCCAATGCAATCTATAATGCACTCCGTGTGTCCCATGTCATTTGAGGCAGGAACACATTAATATTATGTCACGTGAAATTACTTGATTTCACGTGACATCAATTAACTGCGGTCCTAATATCAGAATATACATATATTTAATCTATTATACTTGTTTTGGTACATATTATCTTGGCCATAATAACACGTAACTTCATGTGAGACTTTTATTAAGTGAGAATCTTTTAGAGAGATTTTTATTTTCAATACAATGACGCACTGTGTGCGGCATACTTTGTCCATTACTCATATAATACTTTGTTATATGATTCAGTACAGTCGTATCATGTACCATATCTTATGATATTATTATGTATTATCTTGCTGTTATTTGTTTGTTGGAGATACGGACGCACCGTGTGCGTCCTACATAGGAATTGATATTAGCAGTTGGCAAAAGTAATATACAGGTATACTTAGGGAAAGGTGTATAAAGACTAAAATTTATATCTCTTTAAGGTAATACAAAATAATAAATCATTTTATACTAATAGTATTATATTAATATAGTATATTAGTATAGTATAGTAGTGTTCGTCCTCACATTACACTAATAAATAATAACCACATTGTAGAAATTAATGAATGATGATATCACGGTATCCTTCACTCTTAACTAGACTCATGTTCAGTTCTAAATGCTACAGCTCTAAAGTGGTAAAAGTTTAAAAAAATTTCATTACGAAAAATTAAACAGCTTTAAATGGAACATCACATATTCCGCAAGTGGAATTTCAACTATTTCAGTCACTCCCATCCGAAATTTAATTTAATCCCTATTTAATTCAGCCTTCTGAAATTTTTGTCTATCTTCCATTACACCAGAGCTATACTTCAATTTGATTGTACAAAACATCGCGCGTATAACTCGAGGATTGCCCTATAATAAAACTTTTCTCCAAGTTGCAAAAAAACGTAACTGTTCGACTTTTTTCTTTTCAAGTCGATCAAACGGTCGACTTAGAAACACGCGAACGACGTTACTGTCGTTCGTTAATTTCTCCGCGGAATCTTTTTCGTTCGCGTCGAGCGAAGTCGACGAACGAGCGGACAAAAGATTACTCCGGAGAAGAGTATACGTATATCTGCTCCGTAGGGGTCTCGCAGTAGAATTTGATGGACACGATAGATTATGGATCACGATAGAGTACTGCGATGAAATATACGGTACGTGGTAGAAAACTGTTATACATTGTCGCATTTCTAGTACTATACAGCAGACTTCATATCATAATGAAGTCTATATTGATCCGTTATACTTACCCCATTTTATACTTACCACAATGAGATGGAATACAATGTAATTTTTCCCTCGTATGGGTATACACTCGAGGTTTTAATATTCAACGTATTCTGCATTAATTTCTACCGTGAAATGTTAACTGGGAGAGTGTGGTTCAACAATATTTTTACAGAAATGTAAACGAAAGTTTTTACTGAGAGAATATAGAGAGATAAGTATTCAGTTTTTTGTACTAACATTTAATATCGCGGGATAGAATTGCAGTTATCAATATGATTATGTTGATAATATCGAAATATATCGATACATATCGATAATATTGAAATGTATTGATACACATTGATAATATTAAACTATATCGATACATATCAATAATATCAAAATATATCGATACACATCAATAATATCAAAATATATAGATGCATATAATTAATATCAAAATATATAGATGCATATAATTAATATCAAAATATATCGATACATATCGATAATGTCAAAATATATCGGTACATATCGATAATATCGAAATAGATCGATACACATCGATAATATCAAAATCAATATATCGATATATCGATACACATCGATAACATCAAAATATATCGATACATATCGATAATATCAAAATATATCGATAATATCGAAATATATCGATACATATCGATACACATCGATAATACCAAAATCGATATATCGATAGTATCATTAAGAAGAACAAGTGACTGACTATTTAGAATGAAATGCTTAACATTCTTGAAGTTAAGTTAGATTACATTTAAAATTTAAACAACGTGGATTTGAATCATACAACTCAATCTAATCTAATGAAACCTTATCCAATAACTTAACCCAAAATTAACTTAATCTAACCTAACCTAATGTGTCCTAAAAAATTTGGATGATTAAACCTAATAATCTTACTTATTCGAAGCTAACCTAACCTAATGTAACAGATTTAGATAATAAAATCCTACCTAACATATTTGAATAATAAAATTTAATCTAACTCTACATAAATTTATCATCTAAATTATTCTTGAGTGAAATTAAAATAAATTATATTTAAAAATCAAATAAAAATACATATAAAAATTACGTATTACCTTTTCATTATATTATACCATATCTTAACGATATTATCGACATATCGCTATATATCGATACTGTATCGTTAGTCGATAGAAACTCTACAAGACAAACAAAAGTTAGGCAGAAATTTACAATCGTAACTTCTTTACTTTGCAGCTATTTCTATAGAAATATTTTTCTGTGTAAACGATTATATATATATTATTTTCCGTTAACTTCGAAAAATTACACTATAAAAACTAGTACTTTCTGATATTTTTTATAAGGTCCGCCGCCAACGTTTCCGGTTGCAACGCTCCAATTTCTGTACGGATATTATACTATGGTATTGTTCCGAGTTTATTGACACAGAAAAAAATCAGTTGCCGTGAAATTTGCTGATCGTGGTGAATAGGTTATTGCAATTATTGCAAGAGAATATTTTAGACAGTATCTGCTTTACGAAGCAGAAAATGAAGACTGTGCCTGCGATATTAATTTTCGAAATTAACTTAAACTTACTTCCATTCTCTAAACTTTATTATATAAAAAGTCGAACAACAAAAAATCGTTTAATAAATACGTTATTACAATTTGAAATTTTTTCTGAAATTTTTTATTTCAAATTTTAAATTCTCAGATTTCTAAATTTCCAAATTCTCAAATTTTCAAATTTTCAAATTTTTAATTTTTCAATTTCAAAATCCTTGAATTATCAAATTTTCAAATCCCCAAATTCCAAAATTCCAAAATTCCAAAATTCCAAAATTCCCAAATTCCAAATTTCCAAATCTCCAAATCTCCAAATCTTCAAATCTCCAAATTCCAAACCCCCAAATTCCAAATTCCCAAATTCTCAAATGCCCAAATTCCCAAATTCCCAAATTCGCAAGTTCCCAAATGCCCAAATTCGCAAGTTCCCAAATTCCCAAATTCCCAAATTCCCAAGTTCCCAAATTCCCAAATTCCCAAATTCCAAATTTCCAAATTCCAAATTCCAAATCTCCAAACTTCCAAACTTCCAACTTTCAAAAATTCTACACATAAAAATTGGCTAATCAGAAAAAGTATTATACAACAATATTTTTCCAACATAGAAAATGCTTGCAATGTTAATAATATTTGATCACTATCTATAATTTACCAGATGTCTACTGCGATTCTCCAATTATAAAGATTAAACACGTTAACCTATCAAAGTCAAACTTATTCTAGAATGCTAAGCTGGAATCAAACTTTTCCAAAGCAAACGTGTAGCATTTCAAACGCACGCGACATCGACCGGCACTTATATCGTTAGGCAAATGAAGAAGTTGAAACTGTTTTCGCCGTACAAACTAAACACATTTGCATTCGCATATTTACGTCGACGTTATCTTGTTAGACGAGTTAGAAAATTGGTACAGCAATTTATCATTCCATAAGATGAAAAATATAACTGGAGATCAGAAATGTAATAAAAGCGGGAAAAAATTTCGTGACGTGAAAAGTTTTATTTCATCTAACGTTCGCTAAAAAACTGCTGGTGCTTCAGATGTACATAAAATACAAATCAAAAAAAGTTATTAACAACTTCATTTTAAATGTTTTTGAAACATCAATAAATTTGTTATTATTAATAATATGGTATATGGTAATTTACAGTACAAAATAACTGGTAATCAAATATAAATAATTAATAAAATAATATTAACAAAAATGAATATTGATAAATTGGATTCATAAATAAAACAATGAAATTATTACAAATTTAGCGTACAGTAATTACATAGATTTACCGGGAACTCTCATTATACTTTTCATTCTATGCTACAAGTTTGAATCAAATTGTATCTACAACAAATGGTAACAACAAAACATCACGTGATAAGGAAATTTTGAATCGTAATGTCGTTAAAAAAATGTAAGAAATCCACAAAACTATTAACTACTGATTTTTGCAGAATTAACGTACGAATATTTTTAAAATGATATCAGCTGTACTTTCGCCGAATTCGGTTATGTGATAGACGTAATATTACTGAGTAAAAGAAATATGTATTCCACTGTTTTGTGACAGTAAACTTCGTGTAAATATTAAAGTTCATAAATGTCAATTGAAAAATCATTGCAATGAGAAAGGTTGATTACTTACAATTGATGTTGCAGGGTCAGCATGACTTTTTCGAATAAATAAGTACAGATGCGTGCATTTGTACAAAAAGACAATACGAGTATACACGTTCCCGGACGATCATTCAAAGTTAAACACTAATTTAACGGAAGTCTATGAGACAGTCACTTTGCGAGTTACATAGACACCACATTGATACCGTATACAACCGCACACTTGACAATACTATCGTATATGAACACCACGAATTTTGATAATCGTTCACGTTCGTAACACCACTCCGTTTGACATAATTTATCTGGTGACCCCACGGCTGGTTACCCGTCGGCCGACGCAAAGCAACGCTGGGAGCTGCTGGCCGAACAGTGGGGATATACCAGGGACAACGTAAATATATAGATGTTCTTTTAGTTGCGAACTTAAATTACAGACAGAGAGAGCGAATCGATGCCCAAACATGATTGGTTACTTCTCCGCGCATGCTCTATACCGCCAATTATAAGAAATTTGAAATCATCAGTCAATACAAATTTTTAACTTAATATCAAACGAATAATTAATTTTTTCATCTACACATACTACTACAGAGACCTAAAATCTTAGAAGTTGTAGGTTTATTGGTTTCCAAATTCACGAACTTAAAAATTTATACATTTTTAAATTTACAAACTTTAAGTTTGCAAATATTGAAATTTTAAACTTTTGAGTTTGTAAACGCATAAATTTCAAATTTTTAATTATTTAAGCGTTGGAATTTAGAAACTTTAAATTTAGATATTTAGAAAATTTTGATTTACAAATATGCAAACTTTGAAGTTTAAAACTTTAAACATTTTGTATTTACATACTTTCAAATTTTAAATTTGTATCAAATAACAACCAGTTAAAATTAGGCATCAGTTTGTCGTCTTGTTTCATCAAGGGTATGTTCTATCCCTATATTCCTAGGTTCATGGTTTGAAAGTAAAACAAAGCTGTTAATTGGCTGCATACCTACTTCGTTCGCGCGGGTTTTTTGAATTTAATATAATTCTATATAAATAATAATGTTCTATATAGGATTTTTGTTTAATTTAGTCGATTTGACTTTTTTAAATTTTTGTAATCGTATAGAATTTTGAAATTTATCCCATACAAGGTATATTTGAAATTTCGAGTAGAGCAGTAAAATAATATATGACTGATAAATAATTTCAAATAAATTTGTGATTATACTTTGAAACTAGTGCACAGCGATTGGAATTTTCTAGTTTAAATAATTCATTACATTTTAATGCAAAATATGCTAACAATCGACTAAAAATACGTCTATTTCATCTATCGACGTGGCATTTATTTGTTAATTTGTTAGTGCCCTCTAGCGTTAGTTTGTTTCTTGAGGGCATTTAAATACAAAATGCATATGCGTAGGACATCTATAATATCACTACTATAAGTTGTTTTGACAGATCATATAGTTAGGTTAGATTGTATTATAAGTAAACAGTTATTTTATGTATCATAAAAGAAAAATTGTATAAAAAAAATGGAAAACGATAGCCCTGTAATATATGGACTTGAATTTCAAGTATGCAAATGATAATAAAAATTTATATATCATAAAAACCTTTAAAATTACTTTGACCAAACATATATTTTAAAAAATGATTAAATCAGTTAATTGCAAATCTTATTGATATAACAGAATTGTAATTTTTATAGAATTCTATGGATATTATGAAATATATGAAAAATAGCTCTTAAAGTTATAGAGTAGTGTAGACTTCTTGACCATTAAATTTAATAACTTTGATATTATATTTCAACTCTCTTATTGGAGTCTCTTTCAAATGTAAAAATGTCTTAATTATTGTTAATAAGAATATTGTTTCATTCATATTACAGACAAGGGCATTATCAGCTCAAGCAGCTGAAACAGATGTTGTCAGATTTTTAGTAGGAACACAATCTTTAAAATTTAATAATAATCAAGTTCATTTGGTAGAACTGAATGAAGAAACAGGTGGTTTAAAGACACAGGTGTTTCATCATCCTATTGGTGAAATATGGTCTTTACAAGCATCTCCAACAGAACCTAATATATTTATTACTTGTTATAATAGTTTAAGTGGTAATTTTTATTAAAAAAATTTTATATTATAATGTTAAAACCAATAATTTTCAAAAATAAAAAGTATGGGTTTATTTAGATGATGGTTCTTGTCAAATGAAAGGAGCACTTTGGAAATTGCCAGAATTAAAAGAATATACAAATGATGTCGAAAACCTTAGTAAATTAGCAGAAATTGATACAACACCATATGGAACAGATCTTAAAACTATTGCTTATCATCCTATGGATTCAACAAAAGTTGTGTCAGTTGTAGATAATAAATTTGTATTGTGGGATTTAGCTGAAAATGGGCCACAGGTAACAATAGATATTTGCATTTATTGTTACAATTGTATCTGATGTGTTATTTTGTGCAGGTTGTTACTTCTGGCACATTAGCTGGTAAAAGTCAACCACGTTTCACAAATGGAAAATGGAATCCTCACAATGGTTGTAATCAATTTGTTACTTTAAATGAAAATAATGTTCGTGGATGGGATTTCAGAAATCCTTCTGAAGCATCTTGGACAATTTTATCTGCTCATTCTCAAATAATCAGGTACCATATAATGCTTGTTCCTGTTTAATAATTTAAAAATAAATTATAAAGTAATAATGAGTATGTTGGTTTGTAATTTAGAGATTTAGATTTTAATGCAAACCGTCAGTACTTTTTATCTACATGTGGAGATGATGGCTACATGAAATTTTGGGACATTCGAACACCTACAGAACCAGTATTGTCTCGTATGGAACATTCACATTGGGTGTGGAATATTAGAATTAATCGATTTCATGATCAGCTAGTATTAACCTCCAGTAGTGACTCAAGAGTAATATTATGTAGCATTGCATCAATTTCTTCAGAACCATTTGGACACATAGTTTCTGCTGAAGATGATTGTACACAAAATGATTATAGTTGCAAAAAAGACAAGTAATTTCAATAACATTATAATGAAAATAAATTATAAATAAAATTAAAAATAACTAAATAAAATTATACTTGTAGGCTTGAAGATGGGGTTGTCGGTAGATATGAAGAACATGAAGATAGTGTTTATGCAGTTGAATGGTCATCCGCGGATCCTTGGACGTTTGCATCATTAAGTTATGATGGACGATTAGTTCTTAACAAAGTTCCCAGGAAATACAAGTACCAAATATTACTTTAAACGAAATATTTGTATAAAGATAAATAAATTTTATAGATGTCAAAATTAATTTTATTTAGATACAATAAAAAAACGTTATTTATTTTATAAACATTGATTCAGATTATTTATTTTACAGTTTATAATCGTTCTGATACTCTACTAGCTACATTTCTTAATTGTCCGTAAACCTTTGATGGTGGACTGCCCAAAATTAAATTACATATAGCTCTTCGTGCCAATTGTATATTTTGATATGAACCAAGTATATGAATTTTACTGTCTGCTAGTACAATTCTTGTTTTTGTTACGTTTTCTATTGTAAACTTTGTTCTTCCACCCTTCCCTGCTAATCTTCCAATAGCTCTGGAAAGGTGATCCCCTTTTAAAGGTTTAACATCTTGAATTTCAAATGTTTCTACAAATAAATCATCTAAACGCAGTAAAGCCAGAGCATCTTCTACTTCGAAGCCATAAATAAAAGCTTTTACAAAATCAGCTCCCTTTTGTAAATTGGCAATATCAGGAGTTTCTGGAGCTGTGCGTAATTCAACATTTCTACTTTTTAAATTAAATCTTATTTGCAACTGTAAATGTTCAACTATAGGTGTGAATATCTTCATCCAATTTTCTTTTAGAGGAGTGTACCTATGCGCAGGTACAGGAACCTGAAAATACATTATGATGTTGTAATAATGACATAAAAAATTTAATATTTATATTAGACGAATCAAAATAACTTATTACCTTCCTCTGTTCATCACCTTGCACATTTCTGCGCTTTTTTGAGCTTACATGTGGCTTTGCACTTCCCTCTATACCATTGAGAACTTCAACCTAATAAATAAGAATGTGTAAATATTAAAAATTAAATACTATCCTACAACTACTGTGCATTTATACAACTTAACCTTTTAACTTACTTCCATTCGATTTTCGCTCATACGTCGTTTGTTTCTTTTTTTAGTTTCAACAAATTCGGTTGATGTTGAGGCATTTGTTGGTTCTTCTTTATCTACACCCATTTTTATAAAGATCAATCACTTATTACAATACAAAATATTTAATTTCAAATGAATTGCCACATGTATTCTATGTATATATAGCCATATGATTATAACATATATTTATAGCTGTCGTGAGTATGTACATATACTTCGTTCCATATAAGATTATACTTCGTTCGCGCAACTCGAGTAAGTTTCGAGGGCTCCCCACTACCTCATGTTGTACTCCTACCACTCGTTTTCTACTTCATCGATTATATATATGGTGAACAAAAATGCAGGATAGTGATAGTATTTAAAAAATGTCTGTACTCTTATGTATATAGTGATAATTAGGAATAACTATCGAAAGGGTAAATGTACGCCCCTTATCCCTTAGATATAATTGTCCAGCATCGAAATCAGAAAAGTATTAAAAAGAAACTTTGGAATTCATTTTGTCTACTTGACAAGACCTGCCTTAAAAGAAAATAATTATTTACGAAATTTCTTGCACACTAAGTACATAACATATTTAGTGCCAGGAACATTGCGCACTATTCTTGGTTACGACGAATATTATAACCAATCAGAAATATCATGCGCACAGTGAACAAAAAATCGTCATCTGAGAAACATAATCTTTTGTGAAACGAATATGTATATATGTTATTACATACATTCGTAAACAATATACGTCCACTAGTACTATGTATGTCTGATATTATATATCAATGTATGTAAGCCTATAATATAAATAAATCAATATATTTTGTAGCAATAATACAAATCTAAAACTTATAATTTTAAGTTCACTTAATAATAACATACAATAATGGTATTCAACCATTCGGCTATATTTAATAGAATCTTATATTTTGGTTACATTTAATTATCAAACTGTATTAAGACCTATCGATTGTAATATAAAAATAGCAATTATAATACCTCCTTTATCAGAGATCAAAATATTATTGTTGTTTAGATGCATTACTTTTTAATTATTTGTTCTTCTATTATTTTCTAAATTATTTTCAATTATTAAGTATTATATTTAAGGAATATTAAAAACCTGTATTTCTGACATTTCGGTGAAAAGAGGACGATAATTTAAAATATAAAGGTAATTATATCGAACAAGATACGTTTGACCGATTTCGATCGATCTTAAAATATTTCATTAAGGTCAACACCCTGAGTAACTTTTCTCCATACATATAATCCCCCTCCGTTCTAATTTTTTAGATATTTATATTAATATTCTTGATACCTTTTACTTTGATGTTATCTCATATTAAAATTTTTGAATGTATTGGGTTAAATAATGTAAAAGAAACAACGGTTGTATCAATTTTTATAATAAATTATTATTTGCACTAGTTGGCAAGATTTCGGTCATAATATTAAAGAATGCAATTATATTGCTATCGTAACCATATCGTCGACGAAATAAAAATTCTACTATATATCCAGCACAATATTTCTTGAGTACCAAAACATGGAATATTATTGGCTGCAATTTCTTGCCAAACACGTTCAATATTTTGTAAATACGCACTACTAACTGGATCGACGAAATTCATTTCATGGTTTATCCTTCGTCATTCAAACAGTTGTACAATTCTCAACAACTTGACATGATACCCCAGTGTTATCTGTTTGTGAATAACGTCAAGTAATGTTTCAAATGATTTATTCAATATTGGTTTATTAAATATATGTATACTTGAAAAAATCCACTGTGCAGTAATAAATCGTCCTTTGCTGTATTATAGTGTATCTACCTTAGCTTAGTTAATTTCAACTGTTTTATTTTCGTCATCAATTTGATAGGATGTTTTTCCATTCATAAAATACACAACTCACAGCGACAACTAGCCCAATCATCAGCTATATTTGCATTAATGTTTAACTCATTTTGAGAAAAACATTGTTGCTGTGGTCTCAACAATGTTGAGTCTTATGAGCTATAAACCGACCAATATCTTGGATAGAATGGTATGCATGTTAATACCAAGAATTGCAATGCGCACTAATCTTTAAATTACTGTCCTTTTTCACATGTGTCTTATTTCATTTTTTAATATAAACATTTATCTTTCAATTGATACTTAAATATCAAGGAATCATATCGTATTTCCTTTGCTACATTTAGAACAATTCATTTTATCTTGCATCGCTCTGTGATGAATTAAAATATCTATTAGATCGTTGTTGCATATGTTCAAAAATTAATAAAACTTCATTCTGTAGTATTAATTCTGTTTTAACAAAGTGAACGCAAGGAAAATTCATCCTGTTAAACATTAAGGTTATACGTAAAAACTGGTATAAAATAGATACCAATCAGCTAAAAATTTTCCTTTCTTTACACCAATTCTATCTCATTTTTACTCTGACAATTGCCAATATGGCAACATTGAGTGATTTTCTTAGTAGGATTAATTTATTGAAGTAATATACCAAAAGTAAGTTTATATTATTTGAAATTAACCTCAGTTATATTTCTCTTGTGATTACACTTCATTCTGATGGAGATGGCCGCATTTTCATGTGGTCCACTATAAACTTAACATATGCATAGAAAAATTTATTCAAAATGTTGTCAAAGACAACGTATTTCAATATCGTTGAAATCGATGAAGTATGCCCTGTTTAATGTAATCAATAATAAAAAAATATATAAATAATATATACACTTAACCTCATGATTATTCAGTAAACATAATAAGAAATAGAATAGTTTCATTTACTGTAAAGAAATCTTGAAGATTATCAATTTACAATGACTTAGAAATTGTAACTATGTATATAAAGCTGTTTCTAAATTTTTCAAAAAGTGATATTAAATTTGAAATATTTTAACCTTAATGAACATTAATTAACCTTAATAGAACTTGTACTATGCACTGTTGAAAATATTTATTGCTTAGACCTACATAAATAAAATTAGTATATGCACCAAATAAATTTTGTTATATAAAACCTACAAAACATCCTTCATGTAATTTGTAATTTAAAAGACTATTAGAAGTGAATATTTTAAACTGAGAAAATTTTAATTAATGAATGTTTTAAATAAATTTACTTTGATATTATGTTACTATGCACTTTTAAAAATGTATAAAAAAGAAAACAATTTGAATTTGTATATCATCTTTCGTTTCTAATCACTATATTCGAAAATATTCATAAAATATTATTTACTTCTTCATAAAAAATATATTGTAAAATTAAAACTAGAAATTTTGATATAATTACAAATTGTATTTTCATGTTATAAATAACCATAAAATTATTTTGATTTGACAAATAAGTATGTGAAGTATCAAAGTAATTCATGAAATTGGGTATGATACAAAATAAGCAATTGCATTTTTTATAACACATTTTTCATTATCTTTTAAGTTTATGGTAATAATTAATAACAAGAAAAAAACCTTCATCAATGTGTCTACAGTAATTATTAAAAGGTACAATTAGCAAATTACTATATTGTGTATCCACTTTGTGTAATAATAGGTAATAATATAATTGTAATATTTTCTTTATAATCATAGCGCAATTTTCTTTTCACGTGCTCAATCGTTTTCTACAAATATAGTATTGTATCTAATTCTTTATTTATATATGTATATATGTGTATATACATACATATATGTATATATATATTTATATATGTATATATATACATATATATATTTATATTTCAATTGCATCATTATCAATTATTTACTGTTACTGCTATTTATATTAATTAACCAAATACTCAAAATACAAATATTTTGCATATAGTAGGTTTTAAAGTCATCATATTTCGTCTCAGAGCTGATGGTTTTAAAACGCACGTTCATATACACAGTAGAATATTCGTAGCATTGCAAACAAAATTAAGGAGCTTGTAATGCACTCATTATACATACATACAAATGGGCACAAAAGTGATCATTTTAATTGGTATAATTATTATAGTCTGCACGAAAATGGTGCTATGTTAAATGGTTTATGAAGCACACTATAAACACCAATTATTTATTGAGCGTCACAAATACACCATTTTTTAAAAAATGTGTTGAATATCAACAATTCTCACATATTACAATCAGCTTGTGTGATCTTTGGTGTATCTATATTATTTTTATTATAATACATACGTACTATATGCAATTATATGGCAGACAAACTTTAAAAGCTCCTTAATTATGTGAACATGCAAAAAATGTACTTATTTTTAAAATATTTATATTTACACACAAAGCTTATTTTGTTTATAATCTATACAATCATATAAATGTAATATTCAATAATAAAATTGTAACATAATAATCCCTAACTTATCTACCTAATTTCAAAGAGAATATTTTACATCGAAATTACAGTGTTTCTCCTGCTCGTTCTTAACTTCTGTTATTAAATAACTATACATTATTACACTGTTCAATTACAATATAGGGCTGAATCAAATTGAACGCCATTCAAATGTTCATTTCTTTATGTTTTATATACAGCATAAATTCCCACCATGTAAAATAAGCATGCTATTATTTACAATATATGATTCAAGGTCTATTAAAACAAATTTCGATAAACAAGTAGTGTTCTAACTAAATAATTTAACTTAATATTAAAGATAGAAAAAAAGATTTAACGAAATTATAATCCGACGTAATAATTAGCCTTAACAGGCGGATGTAAATTTCTTAAAATTTTTCCTATTTAAAATATTATTAAATTCAGTACTCAACATTTATATGACAGAAATATATTTTTAAAATATATGTTACCCGATAGCCATCAAAGCTGTAAATCGTGACATAGAGGAAAAATAAATTTGCTTTAAATATATGTAACGAAAAACAAAGCTTAGAAATTCCAGAAATTCTAATCAAAATTAAAATTTATTTAATTCTGAAGTACTGATGAGATACAATTTTACAAAAAATTTGATAGAATGCAGGAAAGGTAATCATAAAGTAATATTTTATTATTCGTAAAATAATCAAACCCTCAGACACGTGTTGTCCTTAACGAAAATAATGGAACGTATACAGAATTATGAAAAGATTAATATACATTTAATAATGTGATATTTTAAATGCAGATGTCAACGTAGAAAAAAAAATGCTATGATGGCTATCACAGGTTCATTTAGAACTTCCAACTCTCAACTGTATAATTTACATTTATACAATATAAAACTAGATTATCTGTTCACAAAAACAATAGTTCATATACATCACATACATACATATATAATAATATATATACGTATGTATACATATTCTTGTATAATTTTAAGTGATGTCAAAAGGGGTGCTTATAATGTTCTCAGTGCACGATCACAAAAAATAATTAATAGTATGACAATGTTGCACAATCTGAATTATCACTAATTTAATAAAAATTTGAACAATTTCTATATATACAACGAGGGGTGCTTTATGTATTTTTACAAGAAATTATTTACAAAATATATTCATTTATATATTACCTATCAAATTAACATTGTATTAATCATTTTTCTGTAATTATTATTATTTTCATATATTTATGCATGAGTTATTCCAACGTTGTGTTTATGTTCCATAAATAAAATAAATCCTTTTTAATAACTCTATACCTCTGCCTTTTGCAGTATTGTAACTCAAGACGAACTTCCTACTGAAAGACTATGTTCACTGAGACAAGGAAAATAGTGATTCTGGGGCATTATATACGACGTAATCTTTGTTAAATTCATAAAATCATAAACTATACATAAACTTCTTACAATAGTCGTGATTATCTCTGTATAAATTTATAGAAAAGTACGATTGTCCTATAAATATTTTTTAAAAGATTTTTCTGAATATACATTCAAATAATATTTTCAATTGCGTTCACAAGGGAGAATATATTATTTAGCATAATGACGAAGAATGTATGTAATTATAATGTTTTCCATTTACAAATAATTATTTATACGCAAGACCACTCATACTGTAAACAAACTAAAATGAATAACAAGTAACTAAACATTTTCAAACAAAGTCTATCAGTGAATTCGTCAGAGTAGCGACTTAAGCCCCACCAGTCAATGAAAATTGTTCTTGAAAACGTACATTACTTATGGCAGTACAGTCAAACTTCATGTTTAATGCATTTAAAATTTCGACTTTCTTTTACCATTATTAACTTGCTTCAACTAATAACTGTAATGAGCAAATAATAAATGTAAAACTATGTTTTTCCTTATATGCAGCAGTTTTGATTTCGATTAAATAATTATTTGTTAATGCTTATTGCAATTAGTGTCTAATAGAATAATATTAAGGTATTCAATCTAAAAATTTTGTATGTGTAAATTTTGTACATACCGATGAAGTAACATAATATTTTATATTATCATTATTAAACAACGTCCATTTAGATTTTTTTTTGTTTAATAATTAAATACAAGGTTGTAAAAGCTTGGCAAAAGAAAGTTGCACATTGACTCGGCAGTTTTGGATCAGTTCAGTTACTTAGATTAAAGTATAATGCATTGAGCAGATTATTCTGAGTAACCAAACTTTATTTAGGAGTAAAGTATAACTGAGAACGCTAGACGGTGACAAAAACATTGTAATTTTTACTCATTTTCCCCTATCAACTTTTTCAATGCTTAAAAATATAGTAATGATACCTGAAAATCTATTTCGAATGTTTTCATCGGTATTATCGAACATCAGGGAGATTTGCTAATAATAAAAACATTGAAATACCATCCAGCACTCCAAACACGATACTCCTGTAACACATACAACAGCATTGTGCGCTATTGACGCATGTAGTTTCACCAGGTGGGGTCCAGCCACACGGCAATCACATAACCATTTATAACAGATACACAATCAGTCGGATAGGCCTTGACGAGCGACGGTAGCTAATCACTGTCAAGGTCACTTCCCGAAGGTCATTTGTTTTCTCGGGATATTCGCCTCCGCTTTGCCTGCTCTGCTGCCTCAGCTGTTACTAAAACAATGTTCCCGCTGTACGAGGTGTTTCAATTAAAATGGTATGTGAAGTATGTAATTTATTAACTAAACGGCGTTTCATATTTATCTAAATATTATTCAACAAAAAACAAATTTATGTAGAATATTTGAACATGAATTTCAATTTGTATGTAGCGATTAAAACAATTTTTTAACTCAATTATATATTTATTGTATTGATAATAAATTGCATTCATAACAAATGTACAAATTTTTACATACCAGCACCACTTCGAGTTTTCCGTCTAGTAATATCTTCCGTTGATCTAGACGCACCTCTTGTATTGCTTGCTGGTGTTGCCAGTGGCGAAGCTGTGTTCTGCCGAACAGATCTTCTGGTTGTTACTTCCCCTAAGGATTCATTACTGGATGCGGAAGTACCTCGTAGCCTTTCCTTTCCAGCGGTAACTACCGCAGTTGTACTCGGTTGCTTGGTGGTTAATAAACGGCTCTCTCTTTGCACTCTATTACTGGCATTGAAATTTGATATATTACTGGAATTAATTTGACTGCCAGAAACAGTTGTGCTTGTATTTGTTCTAAAATAACAAAAATTTATTTACGTAGCGGGGCTCTCAAATCTCTGACATATTCAGATATGCACTGCTGCTAAAAGAATGCTGAACCGATGTTGCTTACTTTTGATCTTTAGACTTTGGAGATGCAGCGGATGTTTCGTCTGATAATCGCATTCTTGCTTTTCCTACAGATTCAATCAATGGCTCATCATCAGACGAATCTACTTCTACCACAATGGGACCTAAAAATACAAAAATGTTTGTATCAAAGTTCAGGCCCAATTTTAATATCATATTAATAATTAATATGGAAACGACTCGTCATCAATTCTAAAAGAAACGACTGAGATTGAGAGATAGCTGTCTAATATTTGACAAACTGTGCAAGCAAAGTTAACACGAACATATAACAAGTACGTGTACAAATATATAAATACATACATAAATATACGTCTATGTACGTTTATAATAATTTCAATTTGATTAACATACATGAATAACAAATGCTATGTTCAATGTGAACATTTTAATTAGTCAGTTACGATTGGCACTTTCATTACCCTGTTTTTGGCAGTCCTTATCATTTTATAGGGCAACATAAGAGAAACAAACACATATCTAATATCTAGTAAAATTCTCTTGAATATACATAGTGTTCCATGTAATTTTATCACCTGAAATATTTGTTGTATTTTTAAAATTATAAAAAAGTGTTTTATAAAAATGATATCATAAAAATAGTTGTACTTTTGGTGAAGATATTTAAGAGATATTAATTTCAATTTTATATATGATAGCACCTGCTAAGCCGGATTCAACGATTTATAAAGTGCATCCAAACTACTGCAACTATCTTTGCAGATTAAAATAACATTTTTAATGCCGTGTAACATTCTTGACATTTTACTTTGTTTCCTTTTTGATCTTAAAACTGCATAAGTGTCTTTTCATATTTGTTCAGCTAATAATTAGATTTATATGTAACGAAAAAAGTAAATGTTTGTTTTAAATACGTTTGAAGAATCAAAAGAAAAATCTTTCAAAATTCTTATCGAAAATTGACAGAAAGAACAAGTATCCATTTAAAAAGATGGATATGACTTTAACATGTTTTTGGTGGTAGCCGTTTAACACAATGACCACCTAGAATGAAAATCTCTGCATTATATTATAATTTGTACAAAGTCGTACGTTTTTAATAAGAAGAGTATTTTCGTAATTTCAAAAATAACTACACTATTATAGGTAATAAAGTTACATGAAAAACTTCGTATATAATAGATTAACATAAGAAACAATGATTACAGAATAAACAATATAAGATAAACACCTTTCTTAGCCTTGGCCAATATATTGAATCCTTTTTTCGACTGTTCTTCTTTAACAGGTACTTGTTTTTTTAATGAAGCAGCTTCATCTACACCTATACAAGCTTTAATGAGTTCTGCAGCATTCTCGGAGCATTTCCTTTTTCCTGGTCTTGGTTGTGGATCATCAGCAGTACTAGATGCTACAGAACTCTCACTTTCTTGACGTTTTCTTTTCCCTATTTTTATTGTCGTATTAGGAGATAATTTTGATACTCCTAACTTAGGACTTGCTTTAGCATATGGTGATATGCTGCGTCTTTCTTCTATTTTATTAGGACCATGAGGACTACTTTTTGGAGTCTTTACAATATCAGGACTATTTAATTTTTGGGATCTCGTTCTTAAAGATCTTTTTTCATTAGTGTCATTCGGGATTTCAATTAGAAGTTGTTCCAGCAATGACTTTGGTGTTCTTTTGACATAATCATCTGTATTATTAGAATTCAACCTTTCCACAAAATGTGTTTCATCGTTATCTTCTATACATATGACATCTTGCCTCCCTTCTAATTCCTGTTTTCTTCTACGTTTCCGTTTAACGTGTTCAACGTCGCTGGAATCCACTTCTGGATTTTGTGCTGCTGGGCTTGGAGTCTCATCCCTTTGCAAAACTACTGGATTAGAATATGTGTACAGTGGTGGAGTGATTCTAATCGGCTGAGGATCTTCACCTAAAGGTGATTGAATACCTATGTTTATATCACTTGTATCGTTCACAATTTTCTTAACCAGGTCATCTGTAACTTTTTGAAGATTCATAGAAGACTCTCTCACAGATACTTGATGGCTTTGTACATTAGATTTTTGGTTTTGATCAGAACATTGCTCTAACTTAACAGATGTTGTATTTAAAGAAACGTTAGAACTTTTTGTATTATCTGAACGATCGTTTTGCCTTGTATCATCGACTTTTGTATTGATATTAGATTCTACTTTGATTTCTGAACTAAAAGTTTGACTACCGGAACATGAGTTATCTGCCACTGCATTAGCCTCACTTGTAACTGTGTTATCAAGTTTTTCTGTCTTTATTTTATTATAAGAAACATGATTTTGTATTACAGGCACACCATTATTATTTTGTCCATGAGGTTCATCATTTAATCTAATTGCACTATTATCGTCTATGACTGTTTTCACATTATCTTCAGTTGCACTTTCGGGGGCTCTTGACACTTCATGCGTAGTATTTATTGTACCCTGATCATGCTGATTAGTAGAACCTTCTAATTTAATGCTACAACTGTCTTTTTCGGAAAAGTCATTTGTTTGCTGCTGTGCGCATTGCAGTAAATTATCACTATCCACAGTACCGGGTACAGAAGTTGTCACAATAGTCACAGATCCTGTCATTAATGGATTAGATACACTTTTATCATTATCAGCCACTTCTAAACTAGCAATCAAGTCACTATGACCACCAGTTCTCGTTGCCGTTGAAGTCGACTTTTCACTAGATACATCTTTTATGTCATGTTCACTAGAGTTTGACATATTATGGTTTAAATGGTTTTCAAGATAATTTGTGACAGACACAGGACTTAACCTTTGCTGACCACTGGACTTCAAAAGTTCTGAATGGGAATTTGAACACATATCACTACTACTAGTTGAGGAAGGCACGTTCTTATTGGTGATTGGTAGGGAAGATTCCCCTTGAACAGCAGTCTTTGCACTGCTTTGTGTTACCGGTTCAGTCGCTGGCCTATGCAAAGGAGATTCCCCTTGATTCGGTGACTTCTCTGAAAGAGCATCCATGGACTCAATGCCTGAATCTTCACCACCTCCTCCACTACTAACTCTTTCCACACTCGCGTCCACTCCAATCGCAATTGGAGCTGTTGTTTCAAGCAATTTTTGTTTAACTTTTGCTTCCGTCACATTAATTTCTCCAATTGGTAAAGTGGGCTTGCTGGAAGGTACATCAACACTTTGGGATCTGGGAACTTGGTCCACTGAGTTTCCTATTGCTGAACTTTGGGTAGTCTTCAATAAACTAATTCTTTGCGTATTATCCACTTTATTTTCTATAATGGCTCGATCAACCTGCTTTATATGATTCTGAATAACTTTCTTGTGACTAAAATGTTCTACTTTATTATGCCTATTTAGTGCAGCATTTGTGTCATTCTTTGAAACCATATGATTTTTTAGTTTCTGATTGATAGTTTGACTTTTTACTGTAATGTTAGAATTTGCTTTAGAATTATCTATGTCTGCTTTATTTTTTCCCGAAATAATCCTGTTTACAGATGCTTGTGTATTTTTCACAGTAGTTTCTACGTGTGCAGAAACTTTATTTTCAAGATTGGTGGATGAATTTGAATCATTTTGTGCAGGCATATTAGAAAGTACTAATCCAGAATTTTCATTTTCAAATGATGAATTACCAGTAGATTTTGTATTTGTATTTGAAACTACATTAGTGGAAGAACATTCAGGAATGGTCTTCTGATTACTAAAATGTGTAGTCTCTGTATCTTGAGATTCTGTAACATATTCGACAAAATTAGTAATCAAATACTGCCAGCTGAATTGCTGAATTTGAAATGAATAATTGGAAACATTTATATACTTAAAAATATTTAAATTATGTATGTAAATATATAGACATATTTAAACTAAGAAAAAAATGTAACATTTACCTCCTAAATGTAGATCTTTTTCATCCATTAAACTTAATCTTCTTCTTTTTTCTTGGCTAATTAAATCCTTTTTTATGCCATTTATTTCTGTCAGTCGTGAAGCAACAGCATTCAAAGTATTATTCTTTTCAACTGCCGATCTATTAATGTCGCTGTCACTTGTTCGTCTAATTTCCCCAACTTTTTTGACTGCATTAAAATCATTTCCAGTTAGAAGTGCATCGGTTTTTCTTATAGCCTGAGCCGCGTCAGCTTTATAATTAAGTTTTCTCCATTTTGCCTGATTATCCAATATTCTACCACCAGATAATAAATTTTGTTCACGATGTAAACCATCTCCCGATTCTGATTTCTTTTTAGAATCTCTTCTTTTGGTTTTTCCTGTAGGATAAAAATGAAACATATAATAATAACTACCAACACCTTTCAAGAATATAATAATATAACTATGTTGTCTTTTTTAACTGAAATAACCAAAGAAAATTTCAAAATTACACGTATCTTACCTCCTCCTATTTTATGTTCTTGCATATGGTTTGGAACATCTAATTCAACTTGATTTTTTGTTAAAGACTGTTGCGTGTTTAATGGTTGATTCAGAACAGTAGACTTGTGTTTTGAAGGAGATGGAATTCTACTGTTCAATGGTATATCATCTACATCACTGCTTTTACTTGAACTTGGTTTTGTAATGCCACTTTGAACATGTACAACGTCGACCGGTAATTCTTGTTTTAAGGCATTAGGTTTTGATACAACTGTTTGAAGTATATTATTAACTTTGCTAATAGTATTAGTACTATTGATCATTGTAGAATTGGATAAAGGTAGTTTGGATGCGGATGAAGTACCTATTATCATGCTCAAGGACGACTTTTTTTGCAACAACTTGTTCCCATCTAAGCACTCTTTCATTTTTTTCAACTTCCCCCTCTTTTTTATACTAGTTGGATCCAATTCTCCATCTTTTAATGATTTCTTTTCTTTTTTTCTGATTTGTACTACTGAAGCATTACGCCCTCTTAAGGAAATATGTAACGGAGGCACTCTCGGTTCATCACCGATTCCTGAGTTCGGAATACCAGTGGTAAACATTTTATTTACTGATTTATCGGCTTTCCTAATTGGTGGCGTATTTACGAAAGAAACATCAACTTTATACGCTGGAGTGACGGGTTCAGATTTTTCTAACTTTAATCTTAGTTTGATTTTTTCTCCAGGCATAGGACTCTGTGCGGTTTCTCTACTTGATTTTATTCTACTATGCTTCAAACTTCCTTCACTGGCAGTAGATTTTACCGTGGTTTCAGAATCTGATTGATCTGTATTTGTTGTTGTATCGTTTCTTCTTGAGAAATTACTGTCTGCATCGTCGTCAGAAAATATGGAATTTGATCGATCGTTTGATGGTGATGGAAAGGAAAAGAAATCATCTGGATTATCCACCGCACTTTCTGGTTCCGAATCTGAACTTTCACTGGGCATTGGTTCCAAATGGCCGGTTAAAGGGTTAATAAGAAACTGTCGTATTTTACCGGTTGACGTGTATTCTGGTTCAGGTGTCTCTTCTTTAGGTTTAGGAGATTCAGATGTTTCAACCTTAGTGGTAGGCGAAGCAGCATTACTATTAGAAACGTGGTTAGTGTGAGATCCGCACTGAGAAAAGGCACCTGAAACCTGATTTGTAGTTGGCAAACGTGTGGTATTGACTTGAGCACCTTGTGGAATAGAATTATTTTGTGCGTTCCACGTGGTCCCATTAGTATTACTTGTTGTAGGTTGATAATTTCTACTGAGAATATTTTGACTCTGCCCATAGCGAAAATCAGCTGTAGCACTGGTGTTAACATTTATATTTTTAAGCTGATTATGATGTAATTGTTGTTGCACATTCAGTGCTTGATTCTGCTGCCCTAAATGGGACTGCGGTGGAACCGGTTGTCGCGAATAAGGAGGAGGAGTTTGTTGACGTTGATTATTTAAGTAACTTAGCCGTTGTTGTGGAATACTCATGCTTACTGTTGAATGTTGCATCAGTTGCTGCTGCTGTTGTTGTTGCAGGAGCGGTTGATTGGGAACAGATGTAGACTGTAACGCCGTATTTACATTTTGTTGTTGTACCAGTGATTGTTGAGTTGAAGTCTGTTGTGTAAGCAAATGTGAAGTATTTATATTTTGTTGATTTAGTTGCTGTTGTGTTAAAATTTGATGTTGTTGCTGTTGTTGAAGTAGTAACTGCCGTTGTAAAGGCGTTCGAATTTGCTGTCCATTCACTGGATGTCTAATTGGAAGTTGACTTTGTAATTGGATTTGTGAAGGTCTATAAGCCAATTCTTGCCTAATGGGAAACTTTTGTTGAATTTGTACTTGAGCATGTAATGACGAGGCAGGTTGTTGCATTTGTCCACTAGTAGAAGTTTGATGTATTACTTGTTGCGTCATATTTTGCCCAGTGCTACCAATTACATTGACTGAATGTTGCTGAGGAATAGTTGAAGGCTGATTAGTATTAACGGTTGCAAATGCAGATGTAGAAGATTGAGATAAGTCAGGAATGACCGTTGTTCCTCCAATAAGGTCTTCTGTTCTGAGTGAATCTAAATTTGGTGGAGACTCACTAGGCGAAGATAAATCTTTTCTTCTAACTGTTGGTTTTTTAGTGGGTCTCATACGGTTAGTAATTCCAGAACTATCAATAACAGCTGGTGGTAACATTTTCTGACCAGGTATCACATTGTTAGGGTGCGTTCCAGCATCATTTTGTAAAAGATTTACAAGAAGTGGACTGGACAGAGCAACCTGATTTCCATTACCATTTGAATTCCCTGCCAGATTGTTATTGTTTGGTGACAGACTAGATGTAGTGGTAATTGAAGACTTGTACTGATTTGTCAACTGACCAACTGACACAACTGACTGAGTAGTAGTATGACCAGTAGTTAATGTTGTTACTGTCGCCAAATTCTCTTGAGCAGGATAAGGCGGGGGTGGCTGTCCATGATGTTTAAACTGCATTGCACTTTTAATTGTTGCTTGTGATTCACGATTATGTATTGCTTGGGCAGCATGTGTCATACTGGCAAATGGGAATGGACCATTATAATTATTCCTAGGCGAAGCACTGGGATTAGTTACTGGTTGATTTCCAGATACACCAACACTATTACTTCCTGATGCTGACTGTACAGATTTTGTAAGAAATGGTGGGATAGGATCACAGTCTGTAGGTGCAACTACATTTGGAGAACGAAACTGTGGTGCTTTTTCTGATGATGTACCTATAATAATAGTCAATATTAGAAGTATAATAAAATCATTTTGATTTTATAATATAAATAGAAACATACCAGCTGCTATTATTTGAGCCACATTACGCAATGCTGAAGAAATACTAGATGTATTACTTGGACCAGGTAAAGCTGTTGGAGGGTCATTGTCAGCATTAGCTGTATTGCTAGTGGATTCATTTTGAGATTTGGCACCACTGTCTTGTGAGGATCCTGAACGTAACACAATTTCCTGTGCTTCACCACTAAAGCGGTTGGCTATCCTCAATGATATTACCTATTACAACCAAGTTATATATATTATATATTTTTCATATTCTTAATGTATACATATATATATGTAATTTATATTAAAAATATATATTACCTGATCTCCTTCAACCTGCACTGAAAGAATTCCAAGTTGTGTAAGAGCTGGAGAACCCTGAGCTGCTAATTCTCGAAGACGTAGTGCAGCTTCTCTGGGTATTGAAAATGTGACTCTGACAGAGTTCCATGGCTCTACTTTATTTACTCTTAAACCATCACCCTTTTCTATAAATTACAAACCAAAATAATTTATATGTATTATTATGTAGTATACCAAATGTTTAAAAATTTCTTCTTATTTACAAATATTACCTTTACAAAGTAATGATTTAAGACGATCAACAATGGTTTTAAACCTATGCCGAAATTCAGGATCTTCTAGGTTACCCTCGCACGTTACCACCGTTTGAATCAGATCACCATCACTATCAGCCGCCATGACTATAATACACACATAATGGATGCTATCACTAAGATTTCATTTATTACTCTTAAATAAATTTACTATACAGCTTCACATAATGTTAAAATTAATTAATTATTTACTGGAATAACAACAAAGTCCTTTGCAATAAAAAATAACTAACAAAAATCATTGTATATTTCAATCAATATTATATTATAGTTAATATTTATTGTCAAATTTCCTTTGATACTTCAATTTTATATATGGTATAAATGAATTTTGATACTTACCAACCACAAATCACATAACTACCCAGAGAGGTTACAAACGCCTCAGGGTATCACTACAGAATGTGGTGATAAGATGTTTGTTTGTCGGTTTTAAACCGACAACTCCAAACAACGCCAGCACTAATAAATATGCTTATTGTTTCTATGGAACAAAATAATAAAATTTTATTAAGTAATATTACATGCAAAAGAAACATTTTACAATCTAATTATATTCCAGCTACTAGAATACTGATAATGATTTAAAATAACTTAAAAATAAGTTTAAAATAAAAATATTGTTTGACACAACGAAGTAAAGATATTGCACTATAATTTTGTGCAAACAAATAAATTCGAATGTATAATATATATAACATAAAATAACAATGCAAAATCCCAGAAGCTCTAAAATATAATCATGTATTATTCAACTGTTAATTGTTTATAATATTTTTTACTAAAAATATGTATTAACATTTAGGAGCTACACTAATATAATGATAAATTTAAATTAATAAATATAAAAACATAATTTATAATTATGTTTAATTATTATTTTAGTTTATTAGTTGTTAATTTTTTTCATTCACAAATAATAAATAAAGAAGATGAAAAAATTTATTTAGACATTTGAAAATATAACATTTTAAGATTATTAACAATAAAAATGTATTACAAAATTATAAAATAACTTTAATATAGTAGGAATTCTAATAATACACATTAAAAGTTTATAACAATTATAAATTATTCATATTTTAATTTGTATAAAGACTCAAATTAAATATGATACTTTTAAAAATATAAAATAAATAAAAAGTAAAATTTAATTAAACCTTATTAATATAAACTAAATAAAACTAATGTACTATACAATAGTTGTAAGAAATAAAATAAAATTGTATATAACATTTATAAATTATGTTTCACTAATTATGGACATCACATCAAACAATTAATAGGGTTTTATTTTGTTATGTCAGCTGTTTATATGTTATAAGATAATAGAACAATATATAAAAATATTAACAACGATAACATAAAAATATAAAGAATTATATACGTATTTGGATATAAAATATTTGAAAAATATTAAATTAAAATATTTTTGTTTAAACAATAGGAATAATAGTATAAAATTTTCATGGAACATCAAGTACGTCTAATATAAACATGAAATTGACAACTGTTGTCGAAACAAAACACAAACGAAAACATAGTGCATAAACAAAAAGTGAGGCCAATGAGCATTACTAGGTTATAATTTGATCGTGATTTTTGTCAAATTACAACGATTAATAAAAAAAATATGAAGTTAACATCAATTACACTGTTAATATTTGTCGAATCAGCGAACATATGCAATGTAAATGATTTTGGATTAAGTCTTACCACTCACGAACTGCAATTAAAATCTTTTGGGCCATAAGATAGGGGCACAACTTCTATGTGGAAGAAAATAGGTTATAGAATATTTTTTTCAACTAAACGCAAAACGTGGAATGTCACGTTAATTGAAATTTAGTATTTTGATGAAAAAGTAATTCAGTTTGATAATTTTCATAACGATTTTCAACAAAATAAGGCATCCAGAACACTGGATATCGGGGGGCCACCATTTTGTCCGTCGGGGGAGGTGTACGTGAAGTGGGCTCAAGCATGCTCAAGATAGACCGTCAAAAGTCTGAACGTTTTTATTTCACAGCCTCCATATATGTTTCGTACTTAGATATGCTTACCATAATAAAGTTAAAATTCAATAATGAAGATCATGGTAATCAACTAGCCTCACTTCAGTCTTTGCACAGAACGATTTCATACCGTATGAACACAAGAAAATTTTAACGTTACCCCATTTCTTTGCAACTTCGTGCGGGATTTCTCGCGTCCAAAATGCACGGAGCCACACCACAGGAGCACTAATTTTAATCAAAAATATGCCGGGCAAGTCTTACTTCACTTTCTGCACACAGCGCGCGGTAGGAATCACGAAAAAACTCGACATAATCGGTAATATAAAGGGACAAGTCATAAAACGCCATGAACAATAACAAGGAGCCGCCATTTGCAATGCGAATAACTGACATGCGCAAATCAATCGCGCGGGGCACACTGGGTATTTGACGGGCGCCATCTTGCCAATCATTTTAACATTGAAATTTCCTAACCTCTCACAGTTTATATCCATTGTTAATCAATATTTATATCTGAATTTATACATTTTATACTTTTGTTTACGCACAACGTATCTAATAAGCATTATTGTTATAAACGATCGATTTATTATAATTTAAGAAATTTACAAATTATATCTTTTTACTTTAAATGCTATTATAGTATTAAAATTAATGAATTATTTTTAATCTTACTTTTCTGTTTACTACAGTTAATTATTTAAACAATTCTAAGATCTTTATGTATATATAAAAAGAATATTATATAAAACTTACATGTATTTTATATACAGTTTATAGTTCTTAGCAAAAAGATTATTATATGTACACAAAATTTTTATAACAAAAATAATTTTAACTATATATGCAATTAATAAATTGATAGTATGAGCATTTATTATTTTATAAATACAGGTTCACATAAATTTCTTCTAAATGCATATATAACATTATCTTTAGTAATATTTATTAATCAAATATATACATAATTTTGTAAATGAAATAATACCACTATTTTTTTATGCGTGCCATATTTAATTGCCACCACCAGCAGATTGCATGAGACCAGCATCAACCATTCTTTGGAATGACTTCTCTGGATCATAATTTCTACAAATGAAAGATATTTTTTTAAAAAGAAACAGAAAAACTATATATCTAAGATATATAAAATTGTAATTACTTGTAAAATTCAGTCATTTTCCTTTCATATGAATCAATAACAAATATTTTGTAAGTCAATCCCACAAGGGCAGTAAAACCTATCATTGACGTTAAGCCCTTTTTAACATATGCAAGATGAAGATTTCGAAGTTCAGGTTTTGGTATTCGTCCTTCTGGCATCTACAATATAAATGTTATATTATATACATACCCAAATGTAAATATAAAATTACTAACATTAAAATATGAACATAAGTCCATGCATTTGTATAATACTCTACTTTACGTAATGTAATTAGTAACTTTCAAATATTCATTCTTTTATGCATTAGTTATATTAGTATTACTTTTGAATAATACATAATTCATAACTTTATACATTATTGTATATTATATATGTTAGTAACGTATTTAAGAAAAAAAAAATTTCTAATGATTTTCAATATTTAAAATATATAAAATAAGCAAAGGTTAAAAACTATATTTCCAAATACATTTGTACAGCACAAATGTATGTGATATTACATAATATTAAATACTTTTTTTTAAACGAAGGTAATGATTATTTTATCTGTACTAAGAACTGAAGGTCATCAAAAAGTGCATACTTTTGCAAATAAAATGAAACGACACTTTTCTGAACTTTAAACTGCGTAATATGCGATCCACCAACGTCAATACTACACCGCCTGGAAACTGCTGGAAACCATTGGCAAACCATAAAGTAACTACCAAGTGCTACCAAGTTACAAGATGGATCCTCTATTAAATCACACCTATGTGTTCACAAAATGATCAAATTTTAATTCACAGCACTCATAACTGAACAGCGAATTTCATTCTTTCTGCGCATTTCCTTTGTTCGTTTCTACATTCTTTGTAATCTACGGTAATGTACATGCGCTGTTATACCTGTGCTGCTAAAAGTATATACTCAGTGAATAGTTAGTTTTATGACTTCTAAGTGTTTTAAATTACGGTATGATAGATCGATTTATATTTAACATAAATTGTTATATTGCCAATACAATGTTATATTTTCTGCGTGTATTATACAGAATGTGGATAATAATTTCTTGTCTAGTACATTTATCATGTTAACATCGGTCCTTGCTGTTCGTTTTTTTTTCCCGTCGTGTAGATGACCACAAAAGTAGAATTAGGGCATAGAGGGTTATTACACTCGTGATTAGTAATCTCCCTCTCGTGTGATATGTATAAAGCAAGATAACAGAGTTGTTGGCTTTACCGATAATCATTGTTTTTGTTATTTTAAGATACATCCATCTTGTATTGTTGTTATCAGTGGTGGATTTGCAAGAAAAAGAACGTCAATTTGCAAAGCTTACAAAGAACATTATATTAATTTGGAATTTAATTTGGTGTGATTTTATTTATAAATGTTTTCAGTTGTTTTTTATGTTGAATATTACAATAATTAGTAAATACTATTTGTATCTAACTACATGTGTCAATGTTTATTAATAATTGTGACAGCTGATGGAGAGACGAATTGTTGCGTAGGTGGATACAGCTGCATTGGACTATTTTATCATATGTGTATTAATAAAAATTCAACGGTACATTGTTTAGTATCATAGTAAGTTTAAATTATGTCGTAGTTATCTTCTAATAGACTTTATACTGTCTTATTTGTACTGTCTTATATTCTATTCAGATTCATGAATGTATGTATAAATATTTATGGAATAATTTTGTGGTACGTAATAGCTTTTTTGTTTCATGTTGCTTATGATTTATATTTTCTTATTATTTTCGTATGTGCATTTACATATATTATTTATATTTATAGAATATAAATGGGTAGTTATTTTTGTTTGTTTGCGCAAAACGGATTCAACAATACTAATTAACACCCAATTTAAAACTTTAATATAATAATAACAGATATTCAACAGGTTATAAATAATGTAAAGTTATGTGTGATGTAATATTCATTCTTTTCTATTTTATTAATAATCAGCATATATAATGTTTTGTTTTGTGCTATTTTACAAGGTTTTTATAATTCTTTTCTTGTAGACTATATTAATATATTTAAATTATCTGTCATTAGTAATATTTTAAGATATGTACATTTTTATTTATTTAGAGATCACTTCAGACTGTGTCAAACAGTCGTTTATACGTACAGTGATCATGGAACAAATGATTGTTTTGAGTACACAAAATCCATTAACTTTGTTAGTAAAGTTTGGGATGATGGCTTGGAATGATACTTGTGGCAAAGAAAATTGTTCTGGTCACGGAGAGTGTCATAATGGTACTTGTTTGTGTGAGGTAATGTTTATGAAAATAACAACAGAGTTTGCATACTGTTGCTTACACATTTAAAAATTATTGTTGTATTTTTTTTAGATCCAATTTGATGGATTGGAATGTCATGTTCCAAATTTAAGTTATTATATTGCGTTTGCAACAATATTCTTTATGCTGGCATTTGTATGTCTAATTCAGCTTATTATGTGCATTATTGCCGAATGGCAAAAAATGAAAGCACCATCATTTCTTAGAGCTTGTAGGATCACTACGCAGAAAGTTCTATATTTCATTGTATTTCTTGCATCACTGATAAGAGGAGCATATTTTACATCTCCGGTAAATTGAAAGAAAAATTTGTACTAAAATATTTAATTGCTACTTAAATATTTATGAATTATTAATTTCATTTTTCCATAGACTGCGTTTAAGGAGGGATGGTCTAGAAGTTTATTATCGGCTTATTATCCACTTGTTTTAAGTGGGTCTTCGTTAATTGTTTGTTTTTGGGCTGAAGTATTTCATTTGAGAGACATGTCATGGGATAAACCACAGTTCCTTTCAAAATCATTTTTGGGGTTTGTTGTATTTAATATATTAACATATTCTTTGCTATTGGCAGAATTTATTACGGTTCAGATATATTCACAAGAGTACCAGGTAAGTTGAATCTATTTATTAATTTAATTTCTTTAACTAGAAAGTAAATTTATTTCAAATAAAATTATTATATTTTCAAATAGATATAACTTATTCCATTTTTAATGGTTTTAAATATTTAACTCCTTGATACTTATATTCATTTCCATATACCTGTTTTTATTTTTATTAATATTCATTGTTTCATGTATGATTAATAATATTTGAGATAGTGTAGTGTATGTTATAGTTTATCTTGTTTTTTTTATTCATGTTTTATAAAAATTCGTGCGTTATGGGGCTAATAAAATTATCTATAACTCATAAGTAATATTATTCTCTATGAAATGAATAATGGGTATTTATTGAAATTTATGTCTTTTAAATATTAGTGACGTAGCAATCAAAGTGTTAAAAAGATAATATTATGTGTTTTAATGTACATAAATACAATCTTTTTAGGGGTTTTATACTAATGTCTTTAATGGATGTTATGCAGTACTCTTATTTATTGTCGTAGTTTTCTTCTTGATTTATGGAGTAGAAGTATTCTTTAAGGTATGTTGATTTAGAAATAAATTGGACATAGCAGTTATCATTATAAGTGCAGTGACATTTGTATAAATAGATACTGATTAGAGTAAAATAATTTTTTTTAGGTTCGAGGTGGCTTCTTGTGTGATTATCAAGACAGTACAATTTTGAACAAACGCATGGTCTCTGATTTGAAAGTTAATGCTGAAGAGCAAGTTACCACAAAATTATTTGATCCTATCCCAAGTACATCACAATCAGTGGAAGTACAGCAGCAAATAAATATTTCTCAGTTGCATCAATCTCGTGTTGGATTACTATCACAAGCTTTTATGCTTTTTATTGTTGTCGGATTTTTGTGTAGTGAAACATTTGGTGAATTTTGGAAAGCTAAGTAAGTGTAGGTAGAATATATACGTTAATTATCATTAATTTGAATATTTAATTTTAATTTTGTTGTTTTAGAGTCCCTTTGTACAGCAGAAATTGGCATGATGTTGTTTTCCGCACTATCGAAGTAGGGGTGATATTGTGGTTCCCGTGTGTGCTATGGAATTGTTTTAGGTTTGTTTTTTTACCACAAAAATATAAAATATAGTAGTTTTGCTTTAGTTTATAAATATATTGATCAATAAATCAGTGTAATAATTTTCTTGTAACATTTTAGCCCAGAGCAATTATGGATTTTAAATCCGAAACGTATTTTGAAAAGATTAGATCATTCTAAATACTTGAAAGAAATCGAGTTACAAGATAAAAGCGGAGAACATGATGCTTCACCCTTTTCGGATGAAACATCAATTAGTAGTAAAGACTGTTGGATTTGTTATGACAGTGATAGGCAAGATGCTGGTCCATTGATACAACCTTGTCAATGTAGAGGTGACGTAAGTGCAGTTCATCATAATTGCTTGCGGCGATGGTTAGTCGAGGTAAGATATAAATAGTTTAATTCTTGTATTAGCTAATTTTAATTGTTTTACTATGCAACTGTACATGTAATCTACATTTTAGAGTTCTATAAATGCTGATAGTCTTACTTGCAAAGTGTGTGGCACGAAATATAATGTGGAACATGCAAATAGATTAGATTGGCAAAATAGTATAACTTCACGTCATTGTTTGCAAACTATTGCTATTGTTACAACAATGTGTGGATCATCCGCTGCTGCTTGGACACTCATTCAGTTAGTAGAGGGTCCTATCATTCGAATGCTTGCCGCTGGTACAGCATTATTGATAATGTACGTCTGTATAAGGTAAGTTGTAAATAATTATTGATATGTACAACATATACACTGTTGTTATACATGAAAGTTACATTTTTCCTCATTTTTTTTTAGGTTTTTAAGTTTAAATACAGTAGTGGCATATCAACGTGCTAAAATTTCTTCTTTAAACATTATTGGCTCTGACAATAGTGGAACTGCACATGTTTCGACTATTAGTCACACGGTTTGCGTAGACTTGCCAAAATCTGAAACAGCAGCAATATAACAAGTATTTGCGTCTTAAATGATACAAAAATCGTTATTTCAACGGATGGGAATAATAAATTAGGACAAAATTCTTAAAACTAAATAGATGTAAATAATATGAAATTGTGTATATTATACACAACAATTTTCTACGATTCTTTACGATTTTCAAAGTAACTAAAGTTAGTAGTTACTTGATGCATCGTGAAACGTGTATTGTGTATTGTTTCAAAGAGTGGTCTTTTGATTTCTAAATTTTGTTATCTTTTTGACTAGTCTGTTAACCAGTTACCACAATTCTTTTCAAATTTTGGACGACTTATACTTTTGCTTAAAGCAATATTATTAAAAAATTATGAAGACCAAGAAAATGCTTTTTTTCAGTTATTAGCATTAATATCATAATTGTTTTTGAAATACTTATTTTAAGATATTCACAAATTTTATGTTAAATAATTAATATTGATGTTATTTTTATTGAAGTTAAATGTGGATTTAAAAATAATTTTATATGCGTTACTTAAATGAAAAAATTTGTGCGACATTCGAATTGGTACTTATAAATTTAACTAAAAGTATCTAAAAATATCAATGATTGCGGCGGTAAAAAAAATGTGATTTTAAAGAATGAAATATTAACGACGAAAAATATGAGGGTATAATCATACTATATCATTTTTTAAATTACCGCGTTTTTGTAGACGTGAAAATGTTTTTTTTATTATAATCCTGGTACTAAATATAAATATACAAATTTCATTTTTATAGTGGAATGTTATAGAAAAATATGAATTAGGTAATAAATTATCTCGAATTCTAAGGGTATAAACACAAATTCATTCTCATGATATAACTATATATGGTTACATAAAATTTGGTTTTATGAAATCAGAAACACTGTGAATAGTACATGTTTTATGAATAATTCATTAACATGTAATAGTTTTACATAGATATTAAGAAGTATATTATTTCTGTAGTATACGAATTTTATATTTGAAAATACTCGTATTTCGTATGGCTTAGTTTTATAGAATGTATATATAGTATTATGAATATTAAAAAGTGATATGTATCTTCTATTCTTAGCAAAAAACATATTATGAAGCATTGTAATACTAACAAATATTTTTTGCTGCATTTTTTGTAGAAGTACACAAATTTTTTAGCTTTAATAACTTCTGATTATGAAGTTATCATTTATATGGTTGTTCTAATAACTATTGGAAAATATGTTTGTAGACTACATAATACAAAATATCAATAATTTGCGATTTTTTATTATGCAATACTAATATCTGCTAATATAAAATAAAATATTTCTTCATTATTACTTTTAAAATTAAGTCCGATTACTAAAATGGAGTTATAAATAAAAATAAAATTTGTATAAAATATCTATTTTTTATTATGAATTGGCTTGTGTAATAAATTTATATTAAACTATGTAAATTAAAAAATTATATATAATACGAAAGGTGTAAAATCATAATTTGTACACATCGTAAATTAGGTTTAATTAATTTCACAAATATTGGAATCTTCCAACCATGTTAATGATTTTCATTATCTTGCGGGAAAAATTTAAAAATATTACTTAACATATAAATATTAATTTAAATATATATCAGCCATATGAATGATTACAATAGAAAAGAATATCAATAAGCTGTGATTACGATAAACTGTAAAATGTAAATTATTTGAGTAAACGATTACTAAACAAATAAAAAGGCCAAAACAAAAGTATATTACTCATTGTTAATTTTATTATTATGTTTACAAAGATAGTACTTAACAATGTTATGTATATATCAAACTAAAATACTGATTATTAAAAGATAAAGTAAAGTTTTGATCTGTGAATACGGAAGAGCAGATTATAATGAGGTGTTTAATTTTAGGAATGATTCTGAGGTACCTTTTATTGTTATATTATTTTTGAGATAATTATTTAGGTACGTATAAGAAATACATTTTACCAATTAAATTGAATATTTAATAAGTAATATAATTATAGATATACAGTTACAACAGAACTTAAAATATTGTTTATTACGAACTACTAATTTTATATTTCCTGACAATAGATCTGCTCTGACTGTGCAATAATATTATCTGTTGCCATGTGTAAGTGTAAATGTTGTGGCAGAAATGTACTTCTTGAGATTGAGGTTGAATATTGATGGATAAATTTTAAATGCAATTATTTTCTGGTTCAACCTACGCTGAAAAATATCATAAAGTATAAAAGTTGCAGTTTTTAAATGATAAACAGCTTTTAACCTCTTATTTTAAAATATTTTAATTAAAAATTAAAATAGAAAATATACATAATTTATATCTATAAAATATAAATCAGAATTAAAGCATATGGTATTATTGCGTGTAATCAAATAAAATTTATAATTTACTTTTGGAATCAGAAACAGTAACAATATTACCTGCGATGCCTGCAATTGCTTCTGAAGCAAAGTACTTTACATCAACGTCACTATCAGTGTTGAGTTTATCAAGTACAGGTTTTACTTGGGTCTGTACCGCGCTAGGTTCAAGATAAGGTCCAATTTTCTGGAGCGTTTTAGCGACATTGAATCGTACGTTTGCAACATTATCAGTTGCCATTCCTAGGACAGTTGGAAGCATCACTTTTGTTGTTATTTCTGGGCCACATACTTCAGCTAATACCTGTGGGAGCGTAAAATATGCAAATATATGAAGATTAAAGCATAGCTTACTACATGTCCAAGTAATTTAATAATACTCACATTGATACAAAATAAACATGTCATTCTGTGAAGGTAATTTTGATCCCTCGACATTGCTAACACTTTAGGTATTACAGTATTTTGTGCCCATTCTGGACCAAATTTTTCTACCAATTTTTTCAAATTTAACGTTGCTGCTTCTCTGATAGCATAAACATGATCGACTAACCAAGTCATGCACAAAGAATTCAGTTTCTCATCAAAGAATTCAACTCCAAGTTGCCCAGCTAGTAATGGCATATATCTAGGATGTATACGCATGTATATTTATATATATGTATGTATATATATACATACATACACATGGTATATAATAAATTGAATATTATTTCATTTAAGTCACATTCATATTAACAGATAAACACAATCATGCAATTTGATATAATACACTGCAATGTGTACTTACTCTATGATAGCGTATCTAACTCGCCACTTTGAGTCTTCGGCTAATTCTACAATAGCTGGCAGAAGCGACTGTGAAAGTTGTTGTATGCCAATAACTTCATTAACGCATTCTAAATTACTGATAATATTTAGACGAACTTCCGAATATTCATCTCTAAGTTGTGACAAAAATAATGGTAACAGATGTTCAATTGTGCTATAAATTAAATTCAATTATTATTATTAATAACGCGTCAAAATACATTCATTTATACTTGTATATCACATAAAATATTTACTTACTTGTGTTTTCCAAGTATTGGACTAAGTCCCATTATAACACTTGCTAAAGCTGACTTTACATGTTGATTTGGATCTGATACAAGTTCCTTAACTATTGGCAATATATTTGTCATAATAATGGATTCTTGATTAAATTTGTCGAGATTTTGACAAAAATCGCGGACTTTATCAGCCGCTGCAGCTCGTACTTCAGCTTCTATATCTTTTAATAGTATCTGAAATGCTGGTACAAGATCTGTCTTGGTGATTTCTGGACCTAAAGCCTTTTGAAGCTGTAAATGCAAATGAAAGTTGCAAATGAAAACACCAAATATTTACATGTAAAAGATTTACTTGACACAACTTACGTCAGTGAATTTATCAGCCACCATGTAACGTACACGCCAAGACTGATCGCTAACACACTGTCGAAGAGTAGGCATAAGTAATTGTTCTACATCTTCTTGAGGTAACAGAGATGCAATACTAACACACGCTTCAACGGTTAAAAGACGAACTGAATCCTGTAGGATACAATATTATAAATATTATTAGTATTACAACACTTCAGAAAATAAATTCTGCCCACAATCTTACTTGTTCATCTTGAGCCAGAATGACAAACATTGGAATTAAATCAGCTTTTACATATTCAATTTCCATAACCTTTGCAAATTCTCCTAAATTTGAAGCCGCAGAACGACGTGCCATTGGCGTGTCATCTTGACACAAGTTACGAAAGTGATTTCGTAAGCACGCTGTAAAAGAATGATTTCACGTTTGTACAATAGAATTTTATTTTTTTTATATTTTCCATCTTAACAATTGTTTATTACCTTTGACTGCTGGACTAACCCGTGGATAACAGACACTAAATAGAGCACATGCTGATGTTCTTGATGTGAACCAATCTCCTATGGCTATACGGAGTATCAATGGAACAAATTGTTCTTCCAAATCTGTTGGACTGTGTTGAGCAGCAAGAATCCTTAGGGACTCCACTGCTTTGTCTCGAACTACAGTTTCCTCGACTGTTGCTAAAGTCTCTAAAGGTTTCTAAAGTACATCAATTTTTATTAATACATACTTACCTAAAAATAATTTTTAAATAATTTGACAGAGTAAATTTATTTTTTATTTCTAATCTCCATAAGCAAAAATATATGTACTGTACAATAGAAAATATATACATACATAATATTTGATATAAAATTAAAAATTTTTTTGTTTACTATTTAAATTAAGTTTAACAACAGTTGTTAAGCTGTGTTGTTAAGTTTAACAACAGTTTTATTTTAATATCATTATTTATAATTGCATTTATAAATGGAAGTAGTACTCATAAAACAAATATTGCTTTGAACATTAAATGTGATAAAATCTATGACTCGTATGAGTCTTTCAATGAGTCATTACAATAAATTAAAATCTTGCTCTTCTATAATATAAAGAAGTAATTGATATTGTTCTAGTTTGCAAAATGGTAATAAAATTAAGCGAGTAAATGATTTTGCTATAAAATGTTAAGAATATTAGTATTTAGTAGTTAAAAAATAAAAATATATACCAGTAAACAATGCACATGTTCTGGACCTCCAACAAGAGGAGTAAATTGTCCAAGTTGTTCTGCCAATGCTAGTAGAACTTCATCTTCATCGTACATAGACTCCGTTAAGAATGGTATCAATTCACTACGTGTTCGTTCGACGCCTAGGGCAAGCGCAATCGTAGATAATTTTTTTATCGAGTTCAGCCGTAACTGTAACGGAAATGACACTGTGAAAATATCAGTCAACCTTCTACAACTCATTTAATAATTCAAGACAGTTGCTCTCCACTTTTTAAGCAACAATATACATTTTTTTAAGCACAAATTTTATATGCTAAAAACTCCAAACGAAAACATTGTTATACAAATAGCTTATAATGTTAATTGTATCAATATCGAAATTAAAGCATTAAAAATCTAATGACAAAGTATTAACAGAATATTTTATTGAATTGTATGCTATCGCTGTAGCCGTCCTGACACTGTTTGCTGTTGCGGCTGTAAGCGGCACAGTAAGCCAATAACTTTACAAACAGAAAATAATGGTGTTTAATGCTTTCAGAATTACCTGTACATCTTCGTTTTTTAGTTCGTCAATCAAAACTGCGATCGGATAAATACTGTCGTCCGTTGTAGAGTCGCTCGCTGCCATTTTGCTGCCGATCACACTAGAGCTTGGAAACTCCCGTGTGTCGAGTAGTGTTCAAATTACTGCGCCATCTGATGATTTCTACTAGTCAGCGAACTAGCGGCACATGTAAAATTGATTCGTACACATTACGTGTTCCATTACAATTTACTGTAATACCTAACTATGCCTCATAAATCAATAAAATTCGTATTATCCTTTCAACCTCTTCCTTTCCGTTCAGATGAAAATGTCGGTTTCTATATTTTACAAATTTTGTATAGTAATATGAATATCTATACTCTCACATTTTTTAACCCATTTGCATCCCATATAATTTCACTGGATGATTATCATTGGAATAGACACATAAAGGTTGGTTAAAACTTGATAGATAAGAATATTGTACTAACATTAACAAATGCTTTTCTTATTTAAGTAATTTTGCGTAGATTTCATAGATAAGTGGAAAAAAAATAGTTGTGCTATCTATTAGATATAGCAGTGCTGTTGATAGAATTTATGAGGCCCAGGATAAAAGTTAAAGTCTTGCATTATTCATGTAATATCTTATGTTTTATTACCATCATGCACACTGCAGAATTTTTTCATTATAACATATTATTTATTGTTTCATATTATTTATCGTGGGATATTTTCAAATAATACACCAACAGGGAAATTGTAAGTTATGAGCAGCAATTAATTTTTTCCATATATACATTATACATTTAAATGTTTCCGTAAATTCAAAAGAATATAAACAACATAAACTCATTTACATAAATATGCAATAATAATTAATTAACAGTTTAGTAATTAAAAAGCATAGTCATTTGTCACAATTCGACTTCTTTTCGTGCCTTTGTTGTCCTTTTTTTAATTCCGGATCACAAAACGTTGAGAAACGTAAAAACACGCATGTGATTTTCCGTGTAAGAGCAAATAGGTTTCCCTGAGGAAAATGGCAGCCAAGAGTAAGAAGTTTATATCATTCGCAATAAAATCCACACAATATGTTTAATTTACAACAGACATTTCCGAAATTGTGAATACGTAAAAGTTGCTTATTTTTTGGAAAAATATAATTTACTATTCAGTTGCTTCGGACGTTCATCGCTAGATGGTGCCAACTGTATCATTTTCAAGTTTTTATTATATGAAAATGGTAATAAATTGTTGTTGTTGTCAAAAACCGTTCTTACAGATGTTTCCTTTCTTAAACAGAAGCTTATTTGCAAAATTTGACGTAATTTACAGCATAACGCTATTCCAAAGAAAAGCCAAATTGATAACAGTTTGATAGAGGCAAAACAATCCGAGGTTAATTAGTCTTGCACTCATATTATTATAGTAAATTAAACCAATAAAATCAACCAATGAATTTTCACGAAAATGGCACAAGTGGCGCCATCTCTCCGGCGAACAGGGTGAACTACACGGTTTTGAAATTGTAGTTTCATTAGTTTTCGCACACTGCCGCCAGATGGCGCCACGTGTATCTTTTTTCGGTCAATTCAATTAATATAATTGATTTTATTAGCTTAATTGACTATAATATGAGTTGAATAACATCGGCTTGCAATACCAATTAATTTTGAATCGCTTTGACTTTATGAAGCTATTATCAATTTTTAATTGTTCGTAGGCTAATCCCAATAAGCTTAACGGTTTTTAATAATCAATTAATTAATAACTTTGCAAAATAACTGATTTTTGTTGGAATTGATTCAGAATTTAATTTTAATACATGTTCTTCAGTTAAGGTTTGATTACAGAATGGATAGCAAACGATTTTGTTTTTAAAATAAAATTGAATACGATCAAACGACGATAGCTTTAAACATTAATCATTTGTTCACAATTACAAATAAAATTCTTCTTTGGCCAATGACCATAGCAGTCGAGGCCCAAACGACAAAAATCAATCAAACAAAACTTTTCTTGATCGAGCTAATGACCACAGTAGTCGACGCCCGCAACAAGAATCAATCAAACAAAACTTTTCTTGACCGACGACTCTGATGATCACCACAGTTCAGTCTTATGTGCCGCCATCTAGTGGTGGAAGAGGAGAACTAATTAAACTCCAGTTTCAAAAGTATGTAGTTCACCCTGTTCGCTGGAGAGATGGCGCCACTTGTTCCATTTTCGTAAAAATTAAATTATTATTAATTTTATTGTTTAATATGCTTTATATTTATTACATATTTATTAACAACGATTTTATCCTGTTTGCAAAATATTCCGTGGGTTCGAAGACACCGATAATGTGTTTAGAACAATTTGCATACAATACTGTATCTTGTCGATCCCTGTATATGGGATGACATAAGAAGACTACAAAATCTTCTTTCAAGTCGTCAGAAATTCTCACATATATCTTCTCTTGCAAAAAGGAGCTTATTTGCAAAATTTCGTCGATGTCAAAATATGACGGTTTTCTGAAATTATGAATGTCAATGTCAACGCAAAATGCAATTACCAAAAACATTAAGTTACATAAATTTATTGTTTAAATAAAGTAATTAGTATATGTATAGTACTGCTGATATAGTTCCTAGAATCATCTTTTTAAATCTAGAGTGTACAGTAAAGCGCCTTGTCTTTGAAAATAAATATTTATTTGTGAAAATGTTATTTATTATCCACTTTGAAAATGCACAAATCATTTTTACGCCATTTTTCATGGGAAAAGAAGATTTACACTTAAATGTGCCCAGTTGTATGATAAACATAGATGTGTTTATTCACATATTTGTATATTTATACGATTTTAAAGTGTTCTGGACTAAATGCTCTAAAAAAAAATATTTTAAAGCTAATTATAATTCTTCAACGGTAAATAGACATAACATCTCTTCACGAAAAAAGTGACAATAAAACAAATAGAACAAATATTAATGTCTTTAAATGTATGAGTTTTTTTTCCCTCCTTATTCTTCACTTTCTTCCTTTTTTTCATCTTCCTATCTGTAAAACATATATGACGACTCTCTAATAGAATATTCGTCTGTTTTATAAATAATTTAAACATGTTTAAATATTTTGTAATGTCATGTATACCTTTATATTAGGTTCGGGAATAAGTTCGTGGCGTTTTGACATTTTCTTTTTTTTACAGCGACATTTTGCAATTTGCAAGAAGTTATAGAGCTCTTTCTGCTCTACAAAACTGTGTTAATCGTTTTTTTCAGTAGATTCATTCGTCATTACTATTGAGGCTTAGAAATGGAATATCAAGAAGGTAAAAAGCAGCATTTTCGACACCTGCTCTTCTTCGCTTTCCATCGCGACCAAAAAGTTGTGAAAAGTTGTGAATAGTTGCTGAAACAGGCCGGGATATTTGTAATGTATACGGAGAAGGTGTCATAGGTGAGTCGACAGCACGTAAATGGTTTGCAAAATTCAACCTAAGGTTGGGCAATAAGTTCGTAGCGTTCACTTCGTGAGGCACCCAGGCTCCCAATTTTTCGACAAATCCCATTGAATGGAGATGATTGAGAATAGTTTTGTGGTCACAGTTCATTTTTTCGACCAATTCACGACTAGTTTGAGGGCTATACTGCTTCATAAGTGTCCGGAGACGCTCTTCGTCGAACTCAGAAGGTCTTCCGCTGCGGGGCGGTTTTTCGCCGTTAAAATCGCCATTTTTGAATTTTGCAAACCATTTCCGTGCTGTCGACTCACCTATGACACCTTCTCCGTATACATTGCAAATATCCCGGGCTGTTTCAGCAGCTTTTTGGCCGCGATGAAAAGTGAAGAAGGGCAGGTGTCCAGCGAAGAAGAGTTGGTGTCGAAAGTGCTAATTTTTACCTCCTGGATATTCCATTTCTGAGCCTCAATAGTAATGACGAATGAATCTACTGAAAAAACGACTAACACAGTTTTGTAGAGCAGAAAGAGCTCTATCGAATGAATATTATAACCCCTTGCAAATTGCAAAATGTCGCTGCAAAAAAAAGAAAATGTCAAAACGCTACGAACTTATTCCCCAACCTAATATTTTTATATTTGATACACTTCCTTAAAGAAGCTGAACAATTGTATATTAATAATTTTAACAAACTATTAAAATTATAAAAATATGAACATGGTTTCATGAAAAATTAAAATAATAGTATATTTCACTCGATATACTGTCATTTTGCTAAATAATTGTTTTCATTCTATTCTTAGTTCATAAATTAGTCACACCTATGCAAATAGTCATCGTATTTCATTTTGCACGCAACAATGACGTTTCGCAGAAATTAAAAGTATAACGTGGTAAAGTTTTAGCGATTTAGATAGTAATGAAGATAACTGTTCATAAATTATACTGCGTTATCTTCTAGCATGGCTTGTATATAAAACTGTGTAACCCTCGGACAATAATAAAACAATTATTTTTTATCTCATAAATTATTTTAAATCGAACGGGAATACCTGTTTATACCGATACAAAGGGTTAAAGTATATTGCGGAAACACAGATAATAGTGACATCGTTTGAAGAAGGGGAAATTCCTGGTTCATGTTATTTACCGTGATACCTTCACAAGATAATACTTGCTAATTACATGTTTATTCTGTTACTCATCTTCTACATCAATTTGATTAAAGTCAGTAATAGAAAATTTGTTTATACAATTAATATACAGAGATACAGAGATAATTCAGTATTAATGAATGTAACCGAATTATTAATTACTATTAATGTGATAGTAATTATGTAGTAAATATTTATTAGTATTTATTATTATAAATATATAGGGTATTCTGCTTTAAACAGATTACTTAATGTTTATTTTTGATACATGAACTTATGTTTCCAAATTTTCAAATTTCATAGTTTACGAATGTTTTAATTCCTAATTTTCAATAGTTTCAAATTTGTTAATCTCTGAATTTAAAAAATTTCAAGTTTGAACATTTTAATTTCTTAGATCTTCAAATTTTGAAGTTTCCGAATTCTAAAATGTTTAAATTCGCAGATTCTCAAGTTTATTGATTTCTAAATTTGTAAATTACAGAATTCTATCATTTTTAAATTTCTAGTTTTTTAGATTCTTAGATCTCAAATCCTAAATCTTCAAATTTCTAAATTTCCGGATTTCAACATTTTTTAATTTCTAGTCTCTCAGATTTTTAGATCTCAAATTAAATCTTCAAATTTCTGAATTTCCGGGTGTCAAAATTTTTTAATTTCTAGTCTCCTAGATTTTTAGGTCCCAAATTTTTAAATTTCCGAATTTCAAAATTTTCAAATTCCTAAATTTCTAAGTGTTCAAATTTCTAAATTCTCAAATTCTCCAATTTTCAAATTAGAACATTCCTCTTCTTCCAGTTTATACAAATACCTCGATTTCCAAATTCCTAAATTCTAGAGTATCAAGATTTGTATACTGTTAGATTCCCGAATTTCTAAATTCCTGAATTCTAAAATTTTCAAATTCGTTAATTTCTAAGTTTTCAAATCTCCAAACTCCCAGATCCCCAAATCCCTAGATATCTTTTCTGAAGTTCGCAATCTAAAACTATCAGAACGTGAAAATTTGTAAATCTGAAATAAAACGTTTGAAAATTAAAAGTTCAGAAATTTTTAGATTTTCTCATCTATCAATTACTAGCGTACTTTACAACATTGTAAACAATTTAATCATTGACATTAGCATATATTACAGAACATTGTCTTCGTTACTAATAATGGTACAAGGAAATATTTGAAGAAATAAATTGTTCGGCTCGTCAAAAACATATTATGAAATGTAGCTATTTTTCCTTAAAGTCTATTTCCAAGATTTTAGGATAATCGATGTTTTTTTTTAAATGTAACTACACGTATCGTTTTTTACATACCTTCTGTATTTTCCTTATATTTTATATTCCTAATATTGAAGCACAATTCAAAGAAAAAAATACCAATAATTTACAAGATATTTTCAATTGAAAAGTGAGATATTTGACATAAAAATTTAAATCATTCAAATTATTAATTTTTCTTATACTAGACCCTAATAAGCTACTACTACATTTGTATTATATTTTTATTAATTAAAATTACGTTTCTCTTATATTATATTCTACTGTAAATTTATATACATTTCTTAAAGTTATAGTTTTCTTATACTTTTTTACACAGAACCTTCGATTACATTGATTTACGTAAAACAAAATATGATAATTATATTTATATTTACTAACAAATATAATTATATTTTATATTTGTTAGGTTATGTGTTTACCTCAACGATTTCGTCCATCTTGAAATATGGTGGCAATATACTGACTGCTTTTTAGAAATCTTTTATCTTTACTAAGTGTATGTTCTGAAATTACATGTTGCTTCAATAGCAATAAATATAAGTTAGCTGTTCGTTTTACAGTAAACATTTTGTATGACTCACGTTTATACTTCATTTCACAAATATTCTGAAATTCATTTTAGAAACTATGAAGTTTAGAAACTTCAGTTAAATACAAGGTGTTCCAAAATAATGTCACAATTGTTACAGCGACAACATTATTACAACAATCATTACTATTCTTCTCAGAATCGGTGTAAAAGAAAGTTGCAGAACTTTGTTCCTGAAAATTAATCTGAAACTTTTATACCATTATCGTATCGTGTTGTCACTATATTACAATACTCATTCAGACACGAAAAGGCAATTAAATCTAACACAATAACGCGTAGTTTCGTATTATTATTATATTACAATACTCATTGAGACGCTAAAAAGCAATTAAATCTAACATAATAAAAGTTTCGTCAAACTTTACTGACCGTCCACAGTAAAATGCCAGTGAAATGCACTTAAAAAAGTGATTCTAAAAAAAGTGAACATAAAACTTTTTATGACACATAGCATAACAATACGAGGAAAAATGTTCATGCCAGCTTTTAAAAGTAATTTAGTTGCATTCAAAATCGTTATATAGATAAAATATAAGGGAAAGTTAAATGAGTCGGAAATTACAGTGTCCTCTATTCGTGTTCCCCACACGTGCAGATTTGTGGAGCAACAAAATGATGGAAAGCGAATACGCATGCAAATGTAAACGGATAACCGGACAAAGACAGCGACACAGGCCATAAAAAGCAAAATCAAAAATAAGTAAATTATGATTGTATATAGTTTCTTACGTCAGCTGATAAAGTGATATGTACATTGTATATATACTGTGCCTACGTTCGGTTACAATATTGCCGAAAATTTCTTTCTGCTCGCAGATAGGTAGAGTTCTGTGTTTATTATGAAATTCAAATCAGTTTAGAAATAGAAACATTTCGTCGTGATTTTTCGAAGTTATTTTTATTTATTTTCGAGTCATAATTGTGCTTCGTCAATAGTTTTTTGTTTAACTGCGCTCCACAAAGTTATAGACGAAATGAAATATTGTATTGAAAATGTTATTATATAATTTACTATCAATTGTGATAGTAAGCCACTATTACTTTCAACATTGCCTATTACGAAAAGAAACGATTAGAGACTTTTTGAAATACTATTAAACTTCGAAAGTCATGAAATTCAAATGAACTTTACATTAAACAGTAAATTACAGTAAATTACATTACTTATCTCCTTAAATATGCAATTTCGAAAGTATATAGAAAAATACATTAGAAAATATCGAGTATATTCTATTTCGCTTTACGTATTTCTCTGCATTTCAAACTCTGGTTAGCGCGCTTTAGAGAGGTAGTGTACTATTACGGTATTTACTTCATTCAACGGAAATATGTGATTAAAATAAATATTTAATAAGTGTAATAATACATAGTAATTTATATTCGATAAATGATAGTGGTAATAGTTCATATTTAATAGAAATACTTCACTTTTCATCATTTGCTTTGTTTTCTTCTCATCGTTCGGTGGAAAAATTGCAGATTTCTTAAACAAATATTTGATCAAAAAGTGGTGACATTTTTGTATTGTAGATTTTGGAAGATGAAGATACTGCAAGATAGTGAAAACTGTGTTTGATTTTTTTATCGTTTTTAGTGTTTCATTGCAAGTGCCTTTTTTCGCGATCACGAATTAACTTGGTAAATTTTAAATTAAAAGCATCAAAAATTAAAATAATTTTCTTTAAAAAAAGTTATTTCAAAATTTACTTTATTTCTCAATTTTTCACATCAAAATATTTCAAAGTACTTATTCATTACATACGAACTAAAATTATTAATTTAAATATTAACTTTTGTACGATATATTAGAAATTATTATTTGAAATATTTCCTTGTGGTTACATAAAAAATAATCGTCTGAAACAATACTTCTTTGAATTATTTAAAATAATTAATTAACTAATGGTTCAATAATTATTTAAAATAACATTTCTTCTTGGTAGTATTAGACATAATAGTTCAAAATAGTATTTTCTTCTTTAATTATGTCAATTAATACTTTATGTTCTTAAACTTGCAACAGAAAATCACAAAATATTATTTTTTGAAATTTTCAATAAAAAACAGTATTTTTAATAACATAGGTGATTTAACACTTTAACATAACATAGGTGATTTACACTTTATATGTTAAAATATCTTTGAATATTTAATTAATCAAATAAATTCGCGTACAAAATAAATTTCAAATTAAATTCCATCGAATAAGTACAAAAATTTATGATAACAAGTTTGTATTGAAAAATTTACAATCGAAATACATATTTCATATAACTACACATAAAGAAATATTTCAAACATCGATTCTGTTAATCTGAAAACAAATGAAATAGTGAAAATATAATACATAAAAATTCAATGAATGTCCATTATTTTAAAGTAAACAATTATTTGAATTTAATCAATATAATTTAGAAAAATACTCAATTCTTTTATTTGAAATGCTATTTTACCACCGTTCGTCTGCTCGTTATTAAGTAACAATTAATAAACAACTTCGAGAATTACTTCCGTTAGCCGCAATCATTCGTACATTTGGTAACATCTCGGAAAATAGAATTGCGATATCCCTTTAGATCTAAGTGGCTTATCATTGAACAAATGTAAAAATGAAACAGTGCTTATACGTAGAACGAGATGAGCTTATCATTGTATCTCAGATTATTTAAAAGTATTTAAACAGAAATTCTGTTTTTCAACGGCGCACAGCGTACAGAGACCTCCAGTAGTTTCAACCACTCTCCGATCAACATGTCCCGTTTGAGTTTCGCTGAGGTAAAGCAGTTCGAGGATGCGACGAACGACTTTGACATAATTAAAGATATCATCGATAACGAAAGCCAAGAGGAACCGTTCTACATTCTGGATGTCAATGATTTGATGCGAAAGCACCTGGATTGGATCAGCAAAATGCCGAGGGTGACTCCACATTATGGTACGCATATTTTCTTCGCGTCCTTCATTTCTTCCAGCTGTTACCATCTTCTCCATCTTGTCCGTTAAATTATAGCCGTCAAGTGTAATCCACATCCCATGGTGGTCAAAGTCCTAGCAGCCATGAACGCCAGTTTCGATTGCGCGACCGAGGTACTACTCTTTGTTTAGACAAATCTTATTCGTCGCCGTCTATTTCAAATGACGTTTTCGATACAGCAAGAGATCAGGCAGGTGATGAAGCACGGAGTGATCGCGGACCGAATTATCTTCGCGAACCCGACCAAGTGTCCCTCTCACATCAAGTTTGCCAAGAAAATGAACGTCGAGAAGATGACCGTCGACAGCGAGATAGAACTGCTGAAGATCAACGACCTTTTTCCGGAGGCGAAGTACGCTAAACAACAAACAAACACTCCCACTCGGATCAGAATTATCTCTAAAGTGTTTCTCGTTTCATAGGATAGTGATTCGTATCCGTTGCGATGCCGCGGTCACGCTGATACCTCTCGGCGCGAAATTCGGCTGCGACCCGGGCGAAGAGGCCGTACAATTAATGCACTTGACGAAGAGCCTCGGATTAAACTTGCACGGCTTCAGCTTCCACGTCGGCAGCCCCTGTGGCGAACTAAAAGCCTACAGCAGAGGTATCGCGATGTGCAAAAGACTGATCGCCATCGCCAAATCGATTGGCTTCAATGACGTTCAGTTGATCGACATCGGAGGCGGTTTTCCTGGCGACACTGGATATTGCATCGACAAAGTGAGATTCCTCTTCGAGATCGATTTCTTATCTCTTCGTTAGATGTTTCTTTCGTAACTCTTGTTTTCTTCGATCTCTTCATGTTTTTGTTTTTCTTCAGCTCGCCAAAATCATCAACAATGCGATTGTCGATATTGATCCCAGCATTTCGATCATCAGCGAACCGGGACAGTATTATGTGACTTCGGCTTTTACACTGGCGTCCTATTTGCATACGAAGAAAATTATTCCTAAGGGAGACAAAACGGTTATGATGTACTATATGAACTGTGGGGTGTATAATTCTTTCATTGAGGAGTTACTGAATTTTAGGGCGAGAATACCTATTCCGTTGCACAAGGTATGAATACTTTGTCTACGTTTATAAATAGTATAATTAGCTATATTTATTATGGACAGTAACTTGGTTATAAGCAATTACAAATAAATATTTATTTTTTTATTTATGGCAATGGGTATCAGTTAACTGTTACTGTTATAAAATGGCACTTACCTCTGTTTATATGTGATCTGTATAATAATATGATAATATTATAATGTTTGTATATCATAAATAGTATGCAGAACTATATTTATTTATAAACAGAGCAAATAACTATATTTGTCATAAACTATATAAATAACTATATTTGTTATAAACTGTATAAATAACTATATTATAAGTAGTCCATATATGTATGACGATATGAATAGTTACAAATATTTTCTCATTAATCACAACGTGTATCAGCCAATGTTTTGGTTAATTCACCTGTGTAAATTATTGTTATGATTTTTCATTGTTATTGTTATTGTTTGATTTGTATAACAGCAATTTCTTTTGTGTTTCAGCCAACAAGTGACGAGCTATTCACGTCTTTCGTTTGGGGACCAACATGCGACTCCTTGGATTGTATTTTGAAGAATGTATTGTTACCAGAACTTCATATCGGTGACTGGTTGGTTTGGAGAGACATGGGGGCGTACAGTATACCCCTCTGTTGTCCATTTAATGGTTTCGAAGTGCCCAAAGTTTACCCCGTCATAAGAAAGAGTCAATGGTAAGTAAAATAAATCCGCAAGCAAATTATTACAGAACGAGTATTAAAATATTGAGTCTATCTTAGGGAAGCATTCAGCGCATACATCAACGCAATGCAAAAATCACAGAAGACTATTTGCTGGAAGAACGGAATAGAGAACGCATTTATTAAAACTAGCTGATAATGATATCAGTGCACAGTATCGTACTTATTTCTTGTAACGTTAGATAATGGATCTAAGTTTACTTACGAAGTTATTTATAGCTTTACAATGTTCATCTATATCTCATGTTGCAATATCCTAAACCAGAAATGTTCAGGGTCCTTACTGAGTTTATATACCTTTGTATCAAAAGTTTAGTATTAATTGTTTTAAATTAATGATAAATGCTGAATTATTTACATTTAACGTGACAATCACACGTGTGTGCGTACGAGTTTTATAAACAGAAAGTATTAGTTAAGTATTCAGTAAAGAATTTAAGGAGAGATTGTAAATATCGTTATAAATAAACGAATCAGGATGGGTTCTCCATAAACGAATAATATTTTACGCTTTTTATTGCATACAATGAAACTTCTCATAAGAAAATAGGATCTTCCTGTGTTAAATGTCGCATTATTCCATCTTAAATAAATAAATGTCGTTATTGTTCGGAGTCGCTCGATGTAACGTTAAGTCCGTTCCACCTGTACAAAAAAATATGTAAATTGGAGTACAAATACAGTGAATCACAGAAATTAGTGTACTTACTCTATTGCAGTGTTGCATGAACCTGCTTTTACACCGCTTTCTACTTCTCCATCGTAAATTTCTTTTCCAGTTATGACAGTTTCCAATGGATGGCCAGATTTCAGATTATCTCTCACCTTTTAATGGTTAAACGTTAATACAAACTCAAATAACCAGAAATATTCCATTACTTACTAATTCTACGTCCTTGAATACACGGATCAGATTTCTACCAGCAAGTTTTTCGAGCTCCTCCTTGGTCCATTTCGGTTCCACGTCGCTTTCGTAGAGACGATCGAACAGATCAGGATATTTCGAAACGTCTTCCAATCCCTCGGGCATACTGAGGAATTTGTTTTGAATCGTTAAGTAAGATTTAATAACCTCCGTGATTTAATCGCGATGATTCGGTTGTAACACTTACACTTCTACGCCGTCGTAGTCGGCTCCGATACCAACGTGGTCCGCTCCGATAAGATTGCGAATGTAATTAATGTGATCTGCGGAGTGGAAAACCAATTACTTATCAAGCTTTTCAAATATCACTTAGTTCAAGCATTTATGTGTGGTATTAAGTAAAGTTCAAGTTTAGAGTTATTTGAAGATATGACATTATTAGATAATATATGTTTTACACATTTTAACTAATTTCGAAAATTCGGGAAAAACTGTAATTATTTTTAACGTTTTAACTAATTTCGAAAATTAGTGGGAAGCTTTGTAAATGTCGGTAAAACTAATTTCGAAAATTAGTGAGTAATGTTGCAAATTAATATATCTTCAACTTGCGTTAACGTATCTCGAATTTAAATTGATTATATTATGTAACTAATTTAAATATATTACTTAATGAATTCAATTAAAACATTGTATATTTTACATATAATAAATTGAATCGAAATATCCTTTACTATGTAATGAATTGATTTCAAATAATGTATACAAATATATATTTTAGACATAGTAATAAAATATCGTACCGACAACATCCTGTATAGTGGCATTTCTCGAGGTATTACAATTGATGAAACCGGAGTAGAAATTAACCATGACGATACCATTGTTCTTTTTCTGCAAAATGCAAACAAAATTGAGTTTTACATGTTGTTATTAATTGACAATGGGTAAGTAGGAAATTAACTCACAACTAAGTGAAGCACATCGTCAGGAACATTTCGATGGTGTGCACAAATGGCGTAGACAGAGGAGTGAGAAAACATAACGGGTGCTTTCGTTAGTGCGAGTACGCGCCTCATAACATTGTGTGACACGTGGGACAAGTCCACCAACATTCCTAATCGGTTCATTTCGTGGACCACGACCTGTATTAAAATATTTGAGTGTTAATTTCAACGTGTTAAGTCAAATCAGTTATTGCAAGTCTCCACATTTTCAAATTTTCAAATTTAAATATTTAAAAATTTCTAAATATTTCAAATTCTCAAGTTTTTAAGTCTCAAATTCTCAAATTTTCCAATTTTCCAATTTTCCAAACTTCCAATTTTTCAAACTTCCAATTTTTCAAACTTCCAATTTTCCAAACTTCTAATTTTCCAAACTTCCAATTTTCCAAATTTCCAAATTTCCAAATTCCCAAATTCCCAAATTCCCAAATCCCCAAATTTCCAAATTCCTAAATTCCCAAATCCCCAAATTTCCACGATCCTAAATTCTCAAATTTTTAAATTCGCAAATTCGCAAATTTTCAAATTCTCGAATCCTCGAATTCTCAAATTCTCGAATCCTCAAATTCTCAAATTCTCAAATTCTCAAATTCTCAAATTCTCAAATTCTCAAATTCTCAAATTCTCAAATTCTCAAATTCTCGAATCCTCGAATTCTCAAATTCACAAACTCTCAAATCCTTAAATCTACAAATTCTCAGATTACCAAACCCTAAAGTCTACAAATTCTCGATTCAACAAATTTCCAAATTAAGAAAATTCTAAATTTGCAGAGTTTCAGAATTCCAAAAGCCTAAATATCTAAATTATTAAATTTAAAAATTCTCAAGGTACCTAAATTACAAAATTTGAAAACTTAAAATAAGTTCAATTGGACAGATGACACTGGTAATATCTATCAAATAATTATAGATAAAATGATAATTTGTCGTACTTTAATATGCATATATGCATATTCTTTCTGATAAAAAAGTCTTTCAAACGAAATTGTTCAAATAATAAATACGTTCAACTTTTCTATGAATTATTAAGGACATAATATCACCTTCTTATCTAAAAAAAATGGAAGTATAAGTATTTCGTTCCAAAGTTACTTTACTTTCATTAACATTCCACAAGAAAAACAATTACGATCATTTTCATATTATCGTAAAAAGTATAGCGTTCTGAAGTAAGGTCTTAAAAGTTCAGTACAACCAGCGAATATGTTCTAAATTCCTGAGACTATTACAGAAAAATAAAAGTGTTTAACGTACCACTCCAAATTCTGTGAGATTCCGAACAGGCTTGTCGAGCGCAGGAGATGCGTCAGCCCTGAAACGATAAAGATCTTAATTACTAATTATCTCAATGTTTATTAAACGTTTATAGAAGGTCAAAAAATAATTTTCTTTTCGTTCAACAAATTTTTTAAAATAGTGTAAGAGTAAGTAATTCACTTTTTGATTAATATAGGGATAGGAGACATAATAGGATATAAATACGAATTCTAATTAGGAAAATATTTCCAGAAAATTTTCTACTTTTTTTATGTTTTTCTGGTGCCATTGGATGTAGACATACTATGTATACGAGGGATGGTTAGTACAAATTGATCTCGATATAAAAAATTAGTATATAGAGTATATCACAACTAGTGTAAGTCCCAGAAAGGGGTAGCTGAGGTGATTCTGAATAACTTTCTATTTTGTGAAAATCCAGGTACAAGGAGCAACTTTGGACGAAACAGGATTATTTTTAAACGATGGGTGAGTCTTATTTTACCCTGTAACTACTGGTAAATTTATAATTTTTTTTAGTTATACCACTTCTAATTGGAGGATTTCGTAATTTATTAATAACTTTAATAATGGGAGCTCTATATGTAGTTTTTTTTAGGAATAATGTGATTCTGATTAATACATCTATCTTTACTATAATTATTATCAAGAAGAATTTAATTTAATTTATAACGTTAATATAGATTTAATTAACCTTATTCACGAGAAATGAATAATTACATATTACTATGAATTATTTTACTCGTTATTTAACTAAGTTATTTTGAATATAAAGGCATCCTTTTAAGCAATCACATTTTCTCAGCGCAAAGGCGATTGTTCACGACTACGTCACTCTCGAGCCCATCACTCTGATCCGAGTTCTCATCTTGTTCTTCATTAATAATTCAGAAACGTAGCTTCAAACCTCATTTTTGCAAAGGGAAAAGTTACTCAGAATCACCTCAATTCCTTTCTGGGAGCCACATTAGTTGTGAAACATCCTGAATTGTAACAAATGTATATGATAAAGTGCTATTAACCTCTTGCCCTATGATTTATTTTTGTCAGTCGGAACTAATCACAGCTACAATATTAAACCACAGAAGAAAGTTGAATTGTTATATCAATGTAGTAGTTCTTGACCATGCAACTGATAAACTCCAAATTGAAGTATTAAAAATTGGAGTAAGAATTGTCACAGTTGAACCATAAGTGCCTCACGCATAGACGATATAAGGTAAGAAGTGAAATTGTATAGTCTTAAAATTATTATTATGCAATATTAAAATATCGAGAAACTATCACAAATCATCTAAAAAGCTGATCTACAATAAGAAGCTAATTTACAGTCCTATTTGCAGCAAATTGCACACAAACAAAAACACAGAAAATTCATGTTAACGATTAACATTCTGCAAGTTGTGGCTTGTCAACAAGACTCAAAGGCTAGAATCGTAGGAAAATTTTTCGGTAATTTTGCATTTTATCGCAATCAATAAGATGTTAATATGGTTATCTCCGAAAGCAAGATATTTACAAACGACTGCGGAAAATTTACGAGTGCCAAGATGAATGTTTGCAAGTTGATGAAATGATTTAACGTACCAAGGCGTGTTGCACATGTGAGTAAGCGTAAGATAACGCACGCCGAGCTCATAGAAGAGTCTAAGGACCGCCAAACTGGAGTCAATGGAGTGACCTCCCTCAACGCCGATCATGGACGCAATTTTTCCACTTCTCCATGCCTCCTCGATGTCATTAGCTTTCGTGACGAATTGTAGATCATTTGGATAGTTGTCAACGAGCCTCTTGATGACATCGATCTGTCTCAATGTCAGCTGCAACGCGTCCTTGTACTGTGAGTCGCATCCCACGTAAGCGGCCCAAAACTAAAAATTCGCGTGTGTCTGGCATTAATAAGGAGAAAGTGAAGGGTATTAAAGACGTAACTCAGAGTTGGAAAGTTCGGGATTTGGGGATTTGAGGATTTAGAAAGGAGATTTGGGCATTTGGGAATTTGGGAATTTGGCGATTTGGGAATTTGGGAATTTGGAAATTTAAGGATTTGGGGATTTGGAAATTTGGGAATTTGGGAATTTGGCGATTTGGGAATTTGGGAATTTGGGAATTTGGGATTTTGGGAATTTGGGAATTTGGGAATTTGGGAATTTGGGAATTTGGGAATTTGGAGATTTGGAGTTTTGGGAATTTGGAAATTAAAGGATTTGGGGATTTGGAAATTTGGGAATTTGGCGATTTGGGAATTTGGGAATTTGGCGATTTGGGAATTTGGGAATTTGGGAATTTGGGAATTTGGGAATTTGGGAATTTGGGAATTTGGGAATTTGGGAATTTGGGAATTTGGGAATTTGGGAATTTGGGAATTTGGGAATTTGGGAATTTGGGAATTTGGGAATTTGGGAATTTGGGAATTTGGGAATTTGGGAATTTGGGAATTTGGGAATTTGGGAATTTGGGAATTTGGGAATTTGGGAATTTGGGAATTTGGGAATTTGGGAATTTGGGAATTTGGGAATTTGGCGATTTGGGAATTTAAGGATTTGGGAATTTGGGAATTTGTGAATTTGATCATTTGAGGCTTTGGGGATTTGGAATTTGTGATTTAGGGAATTGGGGATTTGGGAATTTGGAGAATTAAAGATTTGGAGATTTGGTGATTTGGGGATTTGGGGATTTGTAGACTTGAAGATTTGGGGCTTTGGAGATTTGGAAATTTGGAGATCTGGGAACTTGGAGATTTGGGAATTTGAGGATTTGAGGATTTGGGGATCTGGGAATTTGGAGACGTGGGAATATAGGAGTATCGGAATTTGACAATTTGAGATCGCGGAAATTTGGGGATTTGGGAATTTGGGAATTTGGGAATTTGGTCAAAACTCAAGTAAAATATTTTGCTAATTCTTTAAATAAAAATCTGTAAATTAAAATCAATGACTACTTCATAAACGACAAACGAAACTTATTTTCTTCAATTTTGAACTTTTTAATAGTAATGTACACGCAATGTTATAAAATTTATTTAAAATTCAAATGGATCATTAAACAAGCCGTCAAATAATCATAAAATAAAATACTGTAGTAAAGAAAAGGTTTAAGTAATTACTTGTAGCACGAATTACGCAAAGAATAAAGAATAGAAGATGCGATAGTACGATAAAATTCTATCTTGATGTGTTAAACTGAAAACGATAAGTGGATTTGCTAAATGATGCGATTAGATAGAACGGGATTTCTGAGATTATCTGCTGTTTTTGTTTTATACGCTTTTCACATACCTGTGCGCCCAGTTTTCCTTTTCTCAATCGAGGAAGATCCGTGTAGCAAGATTCGCACGCTTTTTTACCCCATATTTTGTCGTTGGTCAGATTCTTCGTGAAATCAAATCCTTCTAACTTATTGTTTAGTAGCGCATATAAGTTGTATGCCAGATCATTATGACTGAAACAAACAAAGAATGTTTTGTTTATTTTTGTGTATTTGTATTTTTAGTAATCAATTTTGTAAATTGTTTGAGAGCAGATTACTCATTTCTACATTTATTATTATAAAATTAGTAAAATTTTATTTTATTTCTTAATTTTTTACATTTCTTAATTTACAAATAACTGAATTATTAATTTTTCAAGTTTTCGCATTTTCAAATTTATAAATTTCCAAATTGCAAGACTTAAAAATGTCTGGATTCAAGGATTTATAGATTTCTAAATTTCTGGATCTCTAAAATTTATAATTCTTTCGAAGTGAATTGAAAAGAAGTGATTAACAGAATTGAAAAGTTTTCAGCTTCTAAATTTCTAAATTTTTACATTTCCGAATTTCTAAACCTTTAAATGTACAATGGAAAAATTCTCCAAACGTAAAAATTTTACATCTAAATTTCTAAACTATAAAATTTTACAAATACCTGTATACCTAAATATCTATACATATATGTAAATATCCAATTTTTTAAATTTCAAAATTTCTACATCAAATTCTAGTAAAAACGACTAAAATACTTTTATTATTACCAGAAAAGTGACTTTACACGCATGTAAAAAAAATTGAAAAAATCACAAATTTATTTCCCATTATCAAATTCAATTTTTAATCGTATTATCAGTTCGAAAATAGATCCGTATAGATTCAATGACAGTTACTCTGCTTATCCCTCGATAAGGTTGTCACTTGATATTCCACAGGCTTTACAGATTAAGCATTGTCTAATACTTCATCTTGCCACCAATCCCGATAGCTTTTAATTTTTGTTCTCAACATTTGCAACATTTTCAATCAATTTTACAGACTCAACACATATTCATCACATATTATAATTTTTACCAGCATATTTTAATACGAAATAATGTATGTATACACAAACAGCTTCATACATTTATTAAATATTTAAAAATTCACATCTGACACATTCATAAAACAGAATCGAAAATTTATAATGCAATAATTTACGATGCTTACAGAAAGATTATAATTATCTCGAATTCTTGGTGGCATGCTTTCGTTTACATTAGTTAATCATTCACTTAATGGTTGTTATGCTTACGATAGTAGAGGTGAACCGCTGGTGGTGACTCGCGTGTCAAGTGCTATATCGTTCTCTCATGTCATTCTCATATCAACTTTCTTAATTGCTACAATCAATCTTTTTTTAATACTCAAGCTATTACGTATTGTCTGAAATAATTTAATTTCCATGTTTCGGGGAAAGATGTAAAACTCCCTTCCTGACTGACTGCCTGACTCACCTATACATTCACGTATGCTATATTGTTCGAGATACGACATTTTTCCACAGAATCGACCCTCCCTAAAATTACCTGAAAACCTCAGGAAAACAGTCAAATCTTTAACATTTGCATTCTGAGCCGTAGAAGGCCAAGAAAAGCCTAATCATCAACTAAAGCCTAGTCATACAAAATCGTCTTTTCGCAGCCCGCTGATGCCGTATATGGTGAAGTTGAATTATTAATTGAATCAGTACATACATTTAACTACTATCTATTATTAATAATTAGTAAAGTTGAATTACTAAATTATATAGTGCATCTTAGTGCAAATTGTTCAGTTGTGAATAAGTTGTGGGGAGTCGAAAGCAACCCCCTCAGTAAGCAAAGGAAGTCAAAATACAAAATTCTTATCTCAGTCATACACGTGTATAAATGTATAGACTAAACCGTGCCAGATACAACATTTTGTCAGGTTATCGAGTTTTCTTAAAATGGGCCAATACTCCAGGAGAAATTGTCAAAAGTATCGAAAGGTGGCTAAAAGAGGTTCTGGGAAGCGGAGAGCCCTCAGCGAGCGAAAGCGAGTTAATTAAATATGTACACAGCTTATTCAAAAAGTTCCGGGACTAACTTTGTTTACGAATGAAACAAAGAGCTGAGACAACAATTTTTTTTTAGTTTTCAACATAATCTTTGTTCAATACAAATTTTGTCGTTCTCTGAGCATTTGTGGCCTACAGTCGCTGGAATGATCTGACGAACACCTCTTCTGGAATAGTTTTCAGAGCTTTGGTCCTCCTTTGCATCAACATCTTTAAAACCTGCTTCCTTCATCGTTATTTTCAATGTAGGGAACGAAAAGTTTAGTTCAAAAAATGTGGTGGAGCCAAATCTGGAGAGTAAGGCAGTGCATCGTGGTAACCGAAGGTTGGACCAAAAATTGTGTTACCAGTATGCGTTCTTTCTTTAACAAATGCGGAACGAACCTTCAAACTAAATTTTGATTTGACAAATTTTTACTAAATTTGCGCCTTCAAGCTAAACACCTTTTTTCCTGAGAACATCGTGCAAAATGTGAACGCTTCCTACATTGATGTTAAGTTATTCTGACAACATTTTAACTGTAATTTGCTGATTACAAGCACGGCACACACGTGTTTGATATTCTAATCGGTAGTTGAGGTTAAAAGGCGCCCCGCAGGTTGTCTTCTAGCTGATCACCGTTCTTGAACAAGCTACCACAACGAAAATCTTGCTTCGGCTTAAAAAATCATCACCATTCGCGGTTTTCGACAATTCGAATATTTCCAAACAACTTTTTTTCCAATTTGAAACAAAATTTGATAGCTGCGTTTCATCGCGAAAATTGTGACGCACTAACTGAAACACGTCTACTTCCAACGAATATAGCTGCCCACTAAATGAATTTACAGCGCTGGAATTTTAACTATTTGTAACTAAGGAACGCTACATGATTCCGCCAATGGACAACAAATAAAGCAAATTGTAGATTTTAAACAAAATTAGTCCTGGAGCTTTTTGAACGAACTATGTATAATATATTAGGTGTCTAAACAACTACAAAGTTTAAATTAGTAACTAAAAGACTAGCAGTGTTTTCACTACTTATCCAGTAGTTCGACCATTGTGTTCAATTTTGAAAATAACATTCAATCGTTCTTTTTATCTACTGTTTTCGTTATTTAGCGTAGAAACCTTCAGCTGTTATTTTAATCATGTCATAATCATATAATTTATGGAATTCACTGCGTATAGTGAAAAAGCCTGTTTTCAACGAACTAGATAAAAATTAAGTGAACCTGCAACGTATAATCGTATTAATTACAATAATTTAGAAATATCTTGGTGATATGTAGAAACAAAACCAGGGCGTTGATTTAAATGACTCTTACTGATAAGTGTTTTGCTAATAACTCGAAAATGAAGTCAACCAATACTTTGGCAAAAATAGAAAAAGTTAAAAATCGCTCTGACTATCATTTTCTTGCACCACTTGTGAGGCACCCTGTATATTTTAAACTAAGGCTAATTAAATGCACCTGCGAGTGTCACTAAAAATCATCTTATTAAAATAGGTGTTGAACCTTCCATTATTCGTTAAAAATATGTGAAGCATATAGAACATGAAAAATATTTGTATTTACCTAAATATTTGAAATCTAATTATGGCGAAGCGACAAATTCATACTGATTGTAGATAATAATCGATATGAAGAATTATCTCGAAACAATTAGAGCGATAATCCAAAATAATAGCACTACTGATATGTTTAAAGACCATACGTAGAAAACTACGACATGCAATAAATTACGAGTCATCCACGAGTTGGAAATATTAAACAAAAATTGTGAAACTACATCAAAACTGTACTACATTCTGTAAGTCATCGTTTATCGTTTATGGTGCAAGGTCTTTCACAGAAACGATTACTCTCCTGATTACCACCACCAGATACTTAATATTGCTGTCGGTATTTGCAAATGTCAACAAGATTGCATAACTTTTTAACGTTACAGATATCGTGCGTTTCTTCACGCTTTCCATAGAGTTCACTTTCACCTCTTGCATTCTGCAGCGACGGTTGCAGCAGATTTCGAATGAAATTTCTTGAGAAACATATTTGCAGTAAGTGAGTTATATTTTCAGTTAGTTAAATTCTGCTTAATCATTTTAGTTAGTGCTGTTTATACGTTATGGCAATTCCTTATCAAAGTTGTAACTAAGCTCCTATATTTACTTTTATTATTCTGTTTACATGAGCTTATCGTGCAAAATTTATAGAGGAATGTCCGCATATCAATCATTTCTTAATCTATTGTAGCTGTGATCTATCATAGTGTTTGATCAATATTTACTCACTGTGGTGATATACTAGTAATAATCAGTGCAAAACTTACGCTGAATAATATAAAAAAATAATATAGTAATATAAAAATAATAATTGGAATAATAACACAAATTGTATGAAATATACTGTAGTAAAATGTAATAATAATATAAAAGTAATAACTGGAATAATAATACAATAGAAATAGTATGAAATGTACTATACATAATAGCATAAAAATGTTGACCAAAATAATAATAATACAAAGATTGTATAAAATATACTGTAGTAAAATATAATAACAGTAATGTAAAAGTAATAACTGTAATAATGATACAATAGAATTAATATAAAATATATTGTCTCACAATTAATGTAGGTCCCTGAAATGGGGGGTAGCTGACGTGATTCTGAATAAGATTTCCCTTTGCAAAAATGGGGTTTGATGCTTCGTTTTTGAATTATTAAGGAAACACACGGACCAATCAGAGCGCGAGGATTATTACGCGTTGGTTAAATACGCGTTAGATTCCTTTGCTTAGAATTACCACGCGTTGCATTACTACGCGTTGGATTACTACGCGTTGAATATCCACGCGCTG